GCTTCTTGCTTGCACCCGCAGGCGCCACAGTCGGCATGCCAAACCATACCCAAAAGTAATTTTGGAGCGTCGAAAACACCTTTTCGGATCACTCGGAGAGTGTGAACTGCATTCTGGGCCACCGATTGCTCTCCTTCCTACTGCTCATGCTTCTTGCCTGCACCGCCAAACCATACCCAAAAGTAATTTTGGAGCGTCGAAAACACCTTTTCGGATCACTCGGAGAGTGTGAACTGCAGCACTCTTGGAGCTCGGGCTCTTCTCCAAAGCCTTCCGGATCACAGATCTGCTCGGGCAAGTGAGGCCTTCCCATCCTCCTGCAGCAGCAGATCTTTGAGGAGCAAGCGCAAGCCCGCCAAGGCGTCCGCGGCCTGGCCCGTTGCGGGCCCTTTGTGTGCGCGGAAGGATGTGCGCTGAAGGAGCTGCGCGTGTGGTTGAAAAAGCAAACGCACTATAGGTAGGCCTCACATTGGCTGCTCCGGGACGTTCTCGGAGTATCGATAGGGTGTCGTTTTGGGTATCGTTCTGGGCGCGTGTAGTGTCACGAAAAAAACAAACTTGCTATAAGCTAGAGCCAAGCAAGCGCACAAGAGCCTTCTCTACCTTGCAGTAGTCATGTGATCAGCGGACTAAACTATGCTTCTCTGGCTCCCAAGCATTGGCGGCTTTGCTTGCTGGCTGCAACTTCCAGGTCGCAAGTCGCAACTTTCAGTACCAGCGCAGTACGCAAGTTACACTTTGGCAGCTCCAGCTCGAAGGTCGCAGCGTGCTCCGGTGCCTGCGGGCGCCTGTGCGTGTGCGTGTGCGCGGGTGCGTTAGCGATCCATCTGGGTGGGCCCATCTCGTGCACACATGTGCCCACCATGCATTGCCGAGGAGCATTGACAGGAGCTGTCATGGCAACTTGCAGCTTGGGGCAAAAAAAGGCTCACAGAGTGCAAAATAGAAGCGCGAAGCGCCAGTTGCACGTCATGCGACGTTATCGTTTTTGGGGCTTCGCTATATCGTTCCTGAGGAAAAAATACAAAACAAGCAACGCGAAATCGCCGAAGACATATTTTATGACGAGAGAGTTTAGCCTTTTGCTCAAATATTGAAAGGCCAGTGACAGTCTTGACCTTGAGGTCAACGGAACTTGTCTGCGAACCAGCGGTCAGTCCAGCTGCAACCTCAAAAGTACAAACATATTGTGCAAACAGTAAATCGGTGAGTTCGATGACTGTGGCCGGCACAGAAGAATCAACCTGTTCCACAATCTGCAAGTGTAACATAGATTGTTCACGAAGGCATTGGAACGTCCACCCAAGGAGCTCGAATTGAGACAGGATGCCGGTCTGATCGCATTCGCTGATAAGGCGAATACCATCTTCCAAGGGAAGCATAGCAGAGAGTTTACCGGAACACAATTGTTTCCACTCACACGAGGCAGACATGGACAGGATATTGGCAGGCGTGCGAAACACGGGCTTGCAAGTGCACCATGCCTCATGTACTAGCGGGATACGTCGAGGATCCGGTTGGTGCTGCTGTGGAACATGCATGTCGGCGTGCTCAACAGATGCGATGTCAGGCACACAGGTGCCACCCCCATGGAGTGGCCGCAGGAGGTGAATGGTGGCATGCTTGGCGTCGACACTAACATGGTTGCCGATCTGCCATTGAGGACGGTACGAACAGGTCCCTCAACCTCAGCAAACCAGGATCGTGTGTATGCCCACGCCTCATGCACGAGATTCAGCGGTGTGTCCCTTGCGACATGGCCAGCAAAGATGACCCCCTTCCACAGCCGAATCCGAAGGCGAATGCCTTGTTGCGAATCATCACGAAATGGCCGGATCATGTAGTTGAAGTATGCAGAACAAACCGCGTCCTGGAACATGGCCAAAATGACATCAACAGGTTGATACACTCTCGACATGAGCACCAGTTGGTCATCGGTCCCAACAGGATTGGGCTGAATACGCATCAAGTACAACTGCCCAGACTCAAGCTGTGTAAGAAGCCGTAGTTGGTGTGTCAGCTGCACGGCCAAGTCATGTGTGGTTCTGTCGTTGACTGCACACAGGAACCCCTGCACATTCCCAAATGGCAGGACAAGCCAATGCACAAGAGGCGAAACAGTCACAGGCCCGTACATGCACAACTGCATAGCCGTCTGATACTTCCAAAACTCACTGTCCGCCCCAACGGCCTTTTGGAAGAAATTGTACACACACAGATCAGAAGATGCCTCAGGAATAGCAACCTCAAAGTATCCGAGAAAGGGAAAGCTCAAGATCATGCGTTTGCACGAAGGCACTGCATACCGGCACCAGAGTCCTTGCACGTACTCCTTGAGCTGCTGCAGCACTCTGTCACTGCGGTCACCTCCCTGAAAAGCAAGACATTCTTGCAAGAACTGTAATTCACCCACAACTCCTCCCCAAGCAGAGAAAGGCGACACCCGGTGGGTACGGTTTGTTCTTCCATTGTCAAAGATGACCCAGTCCAGTGCATTGATACCGTGCAACCGTAAGACACTGAGAATGGTGTCATCAGGCAACCCACCGATGCGTGTGCGCGTGTTGATATGGTTGCACCAGACCTCCTTGGTGCCAGGCAGGGGCAAGGTAGTCGAGATTGTATCACCTGACGATGCGGCTTTCAGGACCCAATGATCCTCAGTAACCTCAAGGCACATCATACTGGGATGAACAAAGGATGCACACATCCGAGACAAGAGATCAAGTGGGTCATCATGATACTGCACACCAACCAATTGAAATGCAGTGATAAGGATCGAAGCGGCCTGAATAGCCGGGAGGTGGTTCCCGACGGATTGTTGAGCTCGTCGTAGATTCCGCGACAGGAATGTTTCGCTGTGCCATGCAGAAGTTGGTGTTCAAGCGGACTGATAAATCGGAAGCCCTTGGGGGTCCGGAGAAGCCGACCCAAAAGTTTTCCATCCGCCAAGCAAGACTCACCAAAATCGTGTGCTCGGCCATAGCTTGCAAGTGCTGTCCGAGCGTGTTCGGATGTGTGCATAATTCTCGCCTCGATGACATATTCACCACAACCGGACCATTCCATCGGCAGCAAGTCCTGCCTATCATAGAAACAAACCTGCTCATCCGTCAGTTGTAGTTCAGCAAGATGCGACTCTGGCCACTGATAGCCGATCACACCACAGAGCAAACCTGTATCAAGCGGCAAGGAAGGCAATAATGGTGGGCTCACTTGATGAGTGATACCCAAGCGCTTATTCACCAATACCGCAAGAAATCGAGTCCGGTGTATGGGTCGACATTTGGACAAGGGGCTCAATTGCGTGATGTGAACATCATACCCTGACTGATGAATCAAAGCTGACAGAATCGACCAGTGGCGATGGCGAACAAGGCCTCCAACGTTCTCCAATAGGGCCAGAGGAAGTTGGAGAACCCTCAATGACCAAATCCACTCCACGAAAGGCCAGGCTTCCTGTGCAAATAGCCCTCGCCCCTTGCCGGCAGAAGAATACGGTTGGCATGGCGGAGAGGCACACAACACATTGGTTCTAGTTTCGGATGCCAAGCCAATGACATGCCAAGCCGACGCATCACCCACAAAGACACTGAATTGATCATCAGTGGCATCAAATAAGCAATCAGGGGGTGCAGGTAAATCCGGAATACATTGTTTGCAAATGTCGTATGCGTGGGCCATGGCTCAATCAGTAGCACTGCTAACAGCGCCGCCCCGTGACGGCTTGAGCCCAGACGCTCCTCGCGGCGCTGCCACTCCATATCCGCCAGATTCAGCGCGCAAATGCCTCGCCCAATCACGCTCGGGAACAGGATGCGCAAATGCGAATCGTGCGCCAGTCGAAGCTCCGCCTCGTTCAACGACCTTGAGCACCGACCACCCGCCGTCTACTGCGCAGACACTGCTATGATGGCGGCCCCGCCCCATTCCCTCCTGTTGAACGCTCGCAAGTCGCGCGCACTGATGGATACCCGATCAGGCAGATAGCAGATGAAATCGTGTCCGCGAACCAGATCGAACACTGAGCCGGAGGCTCTAAAGTATATATAGTGTATACGTACGTAATGTATATTATGTAAATATGGTGTTCTTAACGTCCATGTGTGTTTTTCGCTGGTCATGTCTGTTTGATGCTTCTCTCTTCTCTTGTTGGGTCAAAACCCCGCAGTGAGCTGTCTACTGAAATGCTAGTAAATAGCATGAAAGTATTCAGCTAGCTGATCGACCTTTTGTGATATGTGTCTCTCGAATTCAACCTAAACAGACCTTTGGGCCCAGTCACAAATCAAACACAAAGACTTAACACGAATGAATAGTTGGTTTGCACAATTCACGAAGCAATTCTTGTCGGACACCTAGAGGTCTTGAACAAGGTCGACGTTGCTGATCTGTTCAACTCAAATAGTCCTGTTGCGCATGACCGAATTGGGATGTGCCAAAACTGGATCCCTTGCTGGTCGGGCAAACACATAAACCAGATGGATGTCTACATGGACAATGACATTTCTTATTTTGCCTTTGGTGCACGGAAGGCATACACAAAGGCTTCAGCACGCTGTCCTCGTGTGCCTTGCGAAGACGCGGCAACAATTTGCTCATCTGAGAACGCCTGAAATCGCTTCGGCCTTTCTGACAAAGCCCCAAGCGCATGAACTGAGAGTGGCCCTTATTTGCAACATCACACGCTGCGTGATGCGTGGCCCCTAATTGCTGCTTCGGATTCTCATTTCAAACCACGCAAAGGGGGGCGAACGGGGGGGGGGGGGGAAGAATTTCAGACATTCAACATCACCACATCAGAAGACACACTCAGATTGGCAGAGCCAGATTCATCGCCCGTCCGAGCCCTTCCTCACTCGCCCAAAGGACCTCAAAAGGGCAGTCCACTCCCCTATTCATCTGCCAAACACTTTGATTTAGGTAACGAAATAGATTCATGTCGGTTCACGTCGATTCATTAGCAAGCTTCAGTTCCGCCCCTGCCAGAGCCGCGAGTCCTGCAATGTCTGCCGCCATCTCAGGGCTCAGCATCTTTTGCAGCGGCGGGCCGTTGGGAAACTTCGGCGCCTCCTGGGTTGCTCTTCTGAATGAAACCTGACTGAAGGTACCCATTTCCTTTCAATCGGATTCCCTATTAGCGGGTGGGAGGGCTCATTTATCCAACCAGGTACCCTCATTCCTTCTTCCATAGCGCCCGTTACCCGGAAGCCAATGCTCCTCTCAAATGGAGCATCCCGTGACAGCGTGGGTGGGGGGCTAGGAACGAGTTTTTGTCGGGGTCGCAACAGGGACCCCTGCGACCGACGGCCGGATTTTCTGTGTTTCATCTTTTGAGGACCTCAAAAAGAGTACACTCAAAACATGACTCCACATACCCGACTTGGTGGAGCATCGTTTTACCGGGAACGTCCTTTCTTTTTGTGCGGCTTAAAAAAAGAACACTCTTGTTTGAAGTGGGAAGGCTTCAGACGCAGAAAATGAGGATCGACTCGCTTAGGTTGCCACATCTTGAGAAGAATGGATCGATTGCCAGGGTAATCCTGTTTTGGGCATTTATTTGCTTGCTGACAGGTATAGGCTGCCTTCCAATCATGCAAGAAAACCATTTTGGAAAGAGAGACGCCGACATTGGCTGAATGAGTCGAGGCTGCCTGATACGTCCAGGAGCGGCACGGAAGCTTTACGTGTACGCATGAACATAGTTGGTGCACTGTCAAAAATTGAGCACGTCAGCACTGCAGTATGCAAGCTGTCAGCTTGAGCAATCGCATACATTTTGCCCATCAAGACATCAAGGAAAACCTCAGCGCTCACAGGCACCATATGTCCATGCAGGGTGGGGTTCACTTGGAATCTTATGAAAGCAGCCACCAAGGTAACACAGCTGGGCAGGGGGACGTGTCAGGCCTTGAGAGCGGGTGGGCTGAGGGGTTGGGATAGCCACCTTCACACTGTTTGTTTGGTTCTTGTTTTCTTGATTTCTGTCTTTCTTTTCTTTTCGTTGTTTCATATTTTTCTTCGCTCTTTCTATCTGTATGTTTGTTCGTTGTTGCTTGTTTATTCTCGTTCTTTACTGTTTTATATGTGTCCTTATGATATGATGTAATTATGTATGTCTGCTGACATACATTGTTTCTGTGTTTATATCCTTATGTCGTTGATTTCATTTTGTTTGTTTTCTTCTTTCTTCCTTCCTTTCTTACTGCTTAGCTCTTGCTTTCTTTGGTTCCTTCTTTATGTCTTTGTGTCGTGCTTTCTTTGTCTGTTTGTTGGTTGGTTGGTTGGTTGGTTGGTTGGTTGGTTGGTTGGTTGGTTGGTTGGTTGGTTGGTTGGTTGGTTGGTGGCGGGTGGGTGAGGCTGGCCTGGTTGGTTGGTTGGTTGGCTGGCAGGCTGGTTGGCTGGCTGGTTGGTGGGTTGGTTGGTGGCTTGCCGAAAGGTAAACCACCTTCTCAAAAGCCAAACACAAAACCCAAACAATGTGGGGTTTTTAACGTTTTGAATCCGCTTTGGCATCTTACTCAAACGTTTGACAAGTGCTTTGACATCTGCCTCAACACCCCCCCCCCCCCCAAAACAATACCTTCCACAATGATGTGGCCCGTCTCACAGTGGGGGCAGTCTGGACGCATTCAAAACAAGAAACCACGCACCTGGAATAGTGAGACCGACCCATATCATATGGATCTCTTTTGGGAGGGTGCCGCTTTTGGGGTTCAAGGGAAACCAAAGATCCAAAGGGAAACCACCACCCTTTGAGACTCGCCATTCGAGGACAGACCTTCAACCCTTGTATGTCACTTTTAGACATCACCCGATCAGCAGAATATTAATGCAGTTCACTCATATTAAAATCGTCAAAAGAGGACGTGTAAGCACCCCTGCAAGACCCTTCAGCTCCTGCCAGAGCACGTGGGGCAGGACATTCCTCTCTGCCAGGGTGAGCATGTCATTGCCTTGTAGCAGACTCCACACAGAGGCCAGGCTTACTTTCCTGTAGATTGACATGGAACCCAGAAACAGGCTCATCCAAAAGTAGATTCCTCGTCAAACTATTGGTCAAAGGATGACTCCCAGTACCTTGTGTTGCTGAGTTGACTAGTCAACCAATTCAACCTGTTAAAGAGATGAAAGACACACCAAACACACCAACAAACAAATGCACAACAATCGGTAAGTCACTTGAACAAGTCCATGGGGCCGAATTTGGTGGTTCTACTATTAATGCACTACCCCAACCCCTCGACAAACACGGGTGTACACTCTCCATGTAGTGGCCCATTCAACCTTTTTGTCTGGGGGCACATCTTGAAGTGGTTTCCCAAACAGCCAGATGCTATGCTTCACGGGCCTATGCGTCCCTCGGGCAGGGAAGAATCATTGTGGTGTGATTTCCCTCAAGTCTCGCCCACAGCGAGTTCAGCATCTCAATGGGCAAAACCCGCTTTGCATGAGTTAAGATGGATGAAGCAATATCAACGCTGGACGAAAACGATCTGCTGCACCAACGGGTGTAGGATGTTGTCCATGCACACAGCGTGGAATCTACTGAAACGCCAAGATGCGAAATTGAACGCAGGTTTCCAAACTCTGAGGGGTCCCTCCCAAGCAGTGGGTCTAAACAACAAACTCTGAAACATGCCCGCATGTGGATCAAATACTTGGCTGTGCTCTGTCTGGCACCCACCAACCACCTGAGCTCATACAAGCGCAACCTGGGAAACTGCCCAGAAAGACCCACCTGTATGTGGAAAATTGGGGGCTTCTTCCCCCGCAAGTGACCACGATCCCCCATAAAACAAGACACAGCCTGTTCATCGACCAGAAGTTCATGAAGTCCTCTGGGTTCCGGTTCACGGGTGTGTTGACAACAATTGAAGACCTACTGGACTCCGTGTCCTCAATCGTTTTGCTCCTTTCCTCCAATTGACTTCGATCATCTTTTAGGAACGCCTCGGAGCAACCCTGTCTGCACTTCCACCGGCCAACCAGAAAAATACATTTGAAACAAAAACAGACAACAACCCAAACAACAAACAAAACACTCAAAAACAAGAAACGCCAAAACAACTGCAACATGGCTGAAAGAGAGAACACCCAAACACCCGCTGGCCACGCTGCAGATCTGGTAGCAGCTCGGCCGCAGACCTGGAGCCTGCCCGATCATGGCACCTGCGGTCTCGCAGAACAAAACCGGCCCTACTCATTTTGGGTTGACCTTAAGTGGGTGTTTGTTTGAGGATTATTCCAAAGGGAAACCAATGGGAAATGGTCATTTTTGGAGTCGCCCCTTTTTTTTGCCAAATGGGTTCTCTAACAAATGAAATGCTACAGTCATGATTGTCCTTTGGTGCGAGCTGGAAAACGTTGGTTAGAACATGCTTCGGGTCCCCGAACATGTTCATTGCCCGGAACCATCTGTTGATGGCAAAGGGAACACCCGAACCAAAGGTTTTCACCACCAACTAGTCAAACATGGTTTTGTCTAACACGGCGGATCCCAGCTTTCGACCCAGACTTGTTGGTTGGTTCTCTTCGGTGCCTACGATACTGGTAAATGGAACCACTCTTGGCTCAAGCCCAGAGTGCACTAAAAACCTATGTTCAGATTATGGTCCATGCTTAGTTTAAACTGAAATCTGACTCATGGCAAGACCAGCATGGCTGGCTTCACCATGTCCGCGCCTTGCAGCTGCTTCAGCTCTGTGGAGAAGTCGGGAGCGCTGGTCCCCTCTGGCCACCTCTTCCGCATCTTCTCGCAGCCCCCCGGCGCCGCCTGCAATTTCGTTGGGCGACACAGGTGAGAGGAGGGTGCACGCCTTCAGGGCGCCGGATGTAGCGCTGCCGGGCATTTAGGCAATAAAACGCGGGAGCCAGTAGCCACAAAGTCGCGTTGACCCCATTTCACCCCCCCAAGAAAAAAGAGGACAACTTGAAGGATAAAGTAGGGTTTTGCTGCCAACGGAGGTAATGCATGAGACACGGTCAATATAGTTGCCCAGGCGCACCGGAAAACAAAATAATAATAATAATAATAAAAAAACAAAAAAAACGAGGATGCCTTCTTGAGGTTAACCGTTTTGGTGGGGAAGGCAACAAACCAAAAGGGAAAAACAGTGCCACTAAACAACCGGGTTACTTATTCTGTGCCCCAATGACATTGGATTTGTGAGTAAACATCATTTCCTTGTGGAATTTTGGTGCGCCCAATGTCATTCCTGTGTTGATGATTGTGAGCTCACATTGTTTGAAGGGATCACCAACAACAATACAGTCATCGTGATGCATCCGGCTCCATTGTCATCTTGCTCAGTCCCCGTTTCACACATTCAACACCTATGTTGCTGACCTTGGTAGAGGTCGACTTGCCCGGGGACTCTGTTTTTGTTAGACCCCCAGCCTGCTGTTGAGCTCGTGCAGCGCCCCCCTGTTTAGCATATTTAGCCGGGAACCCACCGTGAAGGGCAAAAGGACGCTACTGGCCAGGCCACAAACGGGCCCGATTGTTGGCGGATGCATGTGAAAACATCCCTTAAAGATGTTCATCTGAACGTGACAACCAGATCCCTCTCATTCAAATGGGAACCAAAAGAGGTTGCTTAAACAACAGGTGTGAATTACATGTACATATATATATGTACATATTTTGTATTTGCCCGTCATGATCATTTCTCTCTAAACGCCAGAGTATGACAACCCCTCACTTTGGGTCTTTCCATCATTCATCCCCACCCCCAACTGGCCCTCCGCCCCTCCATGGCCTGCGCGTACCAGCTGCAGCAATAATTATGGTCCATCATGTCCTGATCGGGCCCAATGTGAGGCTGTCTTGTTGGAAGCTGGAAACCATCAAAACTCCTCACATGGGGTCATGCTGTCATGGTTGCCTCAATCAGGAAGGAAACTGTAGTGGTTGTCCAAATCTCCAATTCAAGGATCCATGATCATGTCTAGTATCCAAGTAAGCATCTCTGTTAACAATGCAATCATGGAAATTGGCGTGAATATATTTTTGATTGTTTGCTTGTTGCTGATTTGTTTGTTTGCTTTTTTGCTTGAGTCCGTGCTTGCTCTGTTTGTTGGTTGGTTGCTTTGCTTGTTGTTTGTTTGCTTGCCTGTTCTTGTGCAATTTGAAGAGTGGTAGCTCTACCGGGGTAGATGTTGAATATGTTGACTGCTCACACCATCTCGGTCAACCATAAGAGTTCACCAACCTAAAATTCATTCACATGCACCGGGAACCTTCATGGCACCCGGGTACCTCATAAAACCGGTTGCAACTCCCTGGCCTCAGGTCGCTGAAGTTTGGCCAGAATACTGTCTGTACAGCTCAGTGCTGCCGCTCTGTGGCAAACCCCGAAAAGAGAAACTAACGCAAACTTCACTCAACTTCTACCTTTGGATTTGGTCATCTTTCAAAGGCTGGCAGCACTCCGGATGCTGGCGCTCAGGAGAACGAAACACTTGGAACTTGTTCTGCTGTTGTGTTGGTTGAGGAGTTTGAGGGAACACGTGCAAACGAGCTTGAGGGAACAAGTGCATACTCCTTGGATTGCTGGTTTCAAGGCACCCCCACCCCAACCAAAATGAAAAAAGGTGGGCTCCACTGGGCTCCACGGGGCACTTGCCAGAGCCCACTTCGCTCAAACTATTCTCAGCTTCTAGCCAACGGACTCCTGGCCTCAGATTGAACGGAAGGCAACGCAAATGTCCAATGTCCAACGTTTGAACAAAGGATTTTTTCTGGAAGACTCCATTCGCAAGCGGTTCAGACCCCCCCAAGGAAAATACAGTTGACCGTAGACCATTCAGGCCGTTTGGCCTTGCCCGCCCGAGACACCCAACTATTTCGGTGGCCCAAACATTTTAGCCCGTCAAATGTATTATTTTCCATGGCATTTGGTTTGAAAACTTGAAAACAAAACAAGTTGTTCCGGGCCCCAGGCCTACGCCTTTCCGTCGCCGAGGCGCAGTGAGGATGCAGCCCAAGGAGTAGACATCCGCAGGGAAGTCGTAGGGTAGGCGAGGGTCCTGTGCACTTCGCCACAGGCCCTCTCCAGGCCAAACGAGTATCAACTCGTCTGCCAAGCTGTCAAGTGACCTCCTTTCAGTTTGGCTTGTGTCCACCCTCCTTTTTCCTCTCCAGTATGTCCAGCCTAGAAGAATGAGCAAGCAACCCCAATTTTCGAGAAAAGGCTTGCAAGGAACTTTCATGGGGGTTGTAATCGAAAATTATCATCGCATTTTCCAGGGGCTAAGGGGGCACCAACGTCTATATACATATATATATATATATATGTATAATCTGCCAAATGAAGTCGCATGCAACAGCTTCCGACAATCACAGCTTCGTGTTTTGTCATGTTGGCGTTCTGCCCCTGAATCTCAATGCGACTCAATGTTCGAATCAGAACCCGCAAATGCATTGTGTTAACCCAGGATTTACGAACCTGACGGATTGATTGTGGGTTCCCCAAAAGTGATCCGAACCCCCTCTTAAAATGAGACATACCCTACTGATCAGCACGGGTTTTGATCCTAGGTCGGTCGCACTTTTTGTGGGGACAAAAGGGTCTGAAGTACTTGCTTAGACGATAGGACCCTTTGGGGGCACCGAGCAACGAAATGGAAGAAGTCCCAAAAGCAACTTCAGACACCCTCATCAATCCACAAGGATGTTGCATCCCAAAAGGCCCAATTTTCACACCCTAAATAGCCAAACAGGGGCCACTACATGAAACTCAGCCAAGCAGCAAACATCTGTTGAGTTGGAAGGACACTTACAATGGTGACATGAGTCACTGCTGCTCAACTGAACTTTCTAAAAGGGAGCAACATGAAACTGCAATTGTTGGAACTTCCAAAACGGGAAACATCAGGACCCCGGCAAACGGACACATGAGACACTCAACCTTTGGTCGATCCTTCCAAAATGAAATTTCTTTGGACCCCTTGAAATAACACCATTCCCCACCCCTCACTGGGAAAAGCTTCCTCTCCAAGTTCCCCGTGCTTCCCTGCCTGGATCTCGGGGGCCATGTAGGTGGGCGTGCCGGCCACCGTCATGGCCATCTCAGAGCTCCTAAAAACAAAGGCCAACCTCAACCCCCGGTTTGACCCACCCTCTAGCCAAACAACCACCCCCCCCCCCGACGACTCAGGAATTGTTCTTAAAACTGAGAACAATTTTGATGTGTGTGTGTGTGTGTGTGGGGGGCCTAATGATCAGCACTACCCTCTGACCTGCTGAGTTGACTGGCCAACAAGATGAAAACAACTACTGAAAAGGACACAACCTGGTTAAAAATTGCCAACACAACAGGCAAGCCCAGCTTATGCATTCGGCCTTTCAACTATTCAACTAAAAGAGAACATGTAGGTAGGATGAGCACCAAAGTGGTGCGCAGCCAGCCCAAGAAATCCCCCCAACTATCACGAACAAGTCGAACATACACCCAAAAAACTGATCTGAAGTAAAGTGGGATTCCTACCCAACGACAGCTTTATCACAGAAAGTGGCCCCTAACCCGCCGAACTTTCTACAACCATGATCACCCTTGTCAGCATGAGGTTCTTTGCAAACAAAAAACAAACACATTAAAAGGGCCCGAAGAGGAGTGTTGGTGGCTTTTCTATGTCATAATCCTGCTTTTTGGGATGGAACAGCCTAACCCAACCTTTACGAACACGAGGCTCAAACAGACCCTTCACCCCACCCCACCCCCCTGGACATGCACGTAGGCTCTTGAACAGTGAATCATTGATTCACTTGGAATGTGGATCACTTGAACAGATCGCTGTAAACAGATCACTGTACACAAATCGTGAAATAGAAGAAGACATGGTGGCAAGCGAATCAATCCTCAGAGACCTGGACAAGCCGAAGTCCGCCACCTGGCGGCATAGTGCAAAGCGCCCGGTCGGTTTTCAAGCGGATCAAGGGAAACCTTCAAAATCCTGTGGTTTCGCGGTTGTCTGTTTGGCTTCCCATTAAAAAGCGACTGAACATGTACCCCAACAAGCGCCCTTGGGTTGATTTAACCGGAAGCCAAATGCAAGGTTGGTTGGCTCATTTGAAGACACCCCGCACACCCACCGACACCCACACTCACGCCCACACAGACACAAGCACTACGCAAACACACACACACAAACGCCAAACACAGACACACAAACAAACAAAAACAAAACAAACAAACTTACAAACACACAAACACATACAAGCACACGGACAAACAACCACACACATGCACACACACACACGAACAAACAAACAAACAAACAAACAAACAAACAAACAAACAAACAAACAACCAGAACCAAACACACACACACACACACACAAACACACGGACACAAACAAACGCACACACGCACACACACGCAAACAAATACACACACACACAAACACGCAGACACACACACGCAAACAAATACACACACAAACAAGCAGACACAAACAAACACACACACACACAAACAAACAAACAAACACACACACAAACGCACACAACCAAACACATAAGCACACAATCACCGAAACACATCCACACAAAAGCCAACACATACACACAAACACATAAACACGCAAACACGCAAACACACAAATACGCAAACACACACACACACACAAATCACACAAGCACACAATCACACAGAGACACAAAAAACACACACACAAAGACACATCATATATGCATTTACATATATATATATATATACACACACATGCACGCACGCACGCACGTGCGCGCGCGCACACAGGCACGCACGCACGCAAACGCAAACGCACGCGCACGCGCACGGGCGCACACACACACACACGTCAAACGCAGGCATTTGATTGTTGCGCTGTTATCGGTCAGCCCCTCTTGGTGGTAAGTGGGGAACAGGCCCCAACTTCGACTTTGCGATCCATTCGAAACTGGCGGCAAACTTGTTAGACCCGTCAAAACAGGAATCTTCAAAAAAAACCAACACCTGCTGAGTGAGGCCAAAACATAGGTGTCCTTGTCAATTCGACGACTTAGACAGTGCTGCATGGGGTTTCCCTTGAAAACGCCAAACAAGGCTCTTGTTGGTTGTCCTTCAGTACAGCTCTAAGGGTCGCTTGGTGCCCGAAAGCGATCCTCAAATGACTCAAGCTGCCCAACAAAGCCAGACATTGCCGCATACAAGATGCAAGTACTTCCATGCTACATGTGTCTCATTGGAAAGGGAATGAGTCATGAGCAAGGATCCTCGCATAACAACCAAACAAACATCTGAGGGCTCGGGAAGAGCTGCTCGCGTCTGGCTTGCTGTTGAGCATTGCCTTGAGGACCTCAGGAAGCTCCGCAGCTCGCCACTAGCCTTTCTGTGGGCAGAGCCAACTGAACCCGCTCAAAGAGCTGGCGCTTCATGTACATGTGAGTTTCATCTGGCCCCCAGCCGGAGTGGGACGTTAGCCGGCGGCGACTCTCATGTTGGCTGCGCTCCCTTGATCATCCGTGGGTCCAGGTAGGTCAAGCGTGTCGCTCTCAGGTTTTTCATGAGACCCGTCAGGTTTCTTCTGTGGGGGTCCCAGAAGAATCCTTCCCCAAAACCCTTGAGTGCAAGGTGGCTTTGCAGTACTTCAAGCTGAAGTGAGCTTGCAAACCAACCCGACAAGCCAACCAACACATCACTGAAAAACCAAACTCCCCATCTACTTTTTCCCGGTAAAGAAGGCATTGGGTAGGAAGACTGCGAGGTCAGATGTTTTCATTTTGGACCGATGTGTACCTCTAAAGAGAATCAGAACAAAGGCATGACTGGAGGTATGTGGTGGCGAGGCCACATATGAATACATGCACTCTGTTGACAAATATATGTTTTTCAGGCACCTAGCAAATCGGCATGACTCAGCCAGTTCAATGCCAACGGTTGATGCCCTTGTCTGACCCAGACCCCAACAACAATAGAACGCACACCCTTTTCTCAGTTGTTAGCTGTTAGCTGATCCCAAGGGGCTTCCCTCTTCAGAAAAGAGTTGAACAAAGGAAACGCCCCGCTGGCTGCTGAAGAGAAGGATCCTTCCCAACCCTTTGTATGTTAATTGGCAGCAAACAACCGTGCGTTAACAATTCCCCGCCAAACATGCGCAAAACAAACAAAAACACAAAAGCTCAGAACTGCCAAGAACGGTGAAGGATTCCTGAACAGAAGCGGGGAGACACCATTTGATACCTTGGCACCTACAGCGATCCGATCCCGGCCTTGGGAAATCGGTCACCTTGCCGCAGGAGGATGTTCTCCTCGGAAAGTGTCGGCGTGGGGACATGCGAAAAGAAACCATGTTGGAAGGTTTAAAGTGTGGTGTTCATGGAACATTCGCGGAAACATGGGGTAGACATGAGAATACAGTTCACAACTCGGAGTAAGGGGCGGTCGTATAACAATTGGGGCTTGTGGATGGTGTCCGTAGGCGAAGTAAGCCCGACGCCGCTGCTTCCCTGAATATTGGAAGCCGACGGACCACAAGTCAAAGGCAGGGGAAATCAACGTGCTCCCCTTGCGCTCGATTGGACAAATCGACCGTGTGTTGAATCCCCCAAGCAAGCCATAAACGGTCAGTCAAACACCCACGGGTGGAGAATACAGGCAAGTTGGATGATCTTCCCACTTAGTAGGTGGTTAATGAGACGTACAAGTTTGTGAGTTCATGAAGTGGGCGTTGATACCAATCCCGGTTTGCCACTACATTATCTTCCCACCGGATAGAGTTTCAGACTTCAGACTTTGCCATAAGTGGGTCTGGTTCTGGGGATGTAGGGTCAGCGTGGTCAAAGTTCCTCCTGCATGTGAGACATGGTCATGGATCCCAGAACAGAAAACCTTTGCAGCGGTTGTCTAAAAACCATATCAAAAGGCTGATGAGTCCCTACCAACCCCAAGTAAGGGAACCGGTCCTTAGTCTATGGCACATGTATGCGTCAAATTATATATGTGGACCAGACAAATGGATAACGGTTTCCTTTGGGTTCCCTTCAAATCAACCCCGCAAGGGACCCTCAAAAAACAGGCACACGTGGACTGGGCTTTCCGGGCGGGCTTGAGATCCCGGTGCACCACCCCCAGCTCATGGGCATGAGCCAGCGCCTGGAGCGAGACGGAGCTCAGTTGACGCGGCGAAACTCGCACGGAAGGAGGCCCACTCCAAACCGGGGGCCTCGAAGGGACTGCTCCACATCACAGTTTATTCCGGTCCAGGGTAGCAAACCTTACTTTGATAGATCATGTCAACACACATCTCAAACACATGGACTCCTCGAAAACTCGATGAGGAACACCCTTCACAATGCTTGGTGGGCACGAATTCCCTGTCTGAATAATGTTCACTGAAGCAACCGACAAATTTCTCTGCTGCATCTTCGTTTCACTGCGCCCCTTTTGGGTTGCTTTGAATGGAAACCAAGAGGGCAAAAACCATTTTGGCGGAGCCCCTTTGAACCACTCCAACATCATATACTGGTCGAGTTGCAGATGTTCTGGGAAGCAACTCAGCTCCTCATTGCCTCTTCCAATCTTCAGACTGAGATTCTTGTGGGCATTGCCTTGACTCACCTGTCCCGGTTGGTCTTAGACCCGTACAATTCGGTGGGTAGGGCAAACACAGTCTTGATCCGTGGGATCAAAAGGGATCCTTATATCCCAAGTAATGACAATCCTGATGCTTCAACTGCGCCAAACATGAATTATTTGCCGGTTGGTGGACACAAATCACCCACTTTCCGACAACTTGCATAAACTGGCAAAGGTAAAAACTGAGTTGCTCCGAAACGTCCGGCACAAAAGATGGCAACCATTCAAGCAAAAATCAAGTTCCAGATTCAAGAGACAGCACGTTAAATATTCATTCACTATCTGAGTCAAACCCGCGCCGTTGGCGCCTTCTGTTGGCTCCCTTCCAAACAAATCCCAAAAGGGTGCCAACTCAAAAACAGACGCCGATGTATATGAGGTTCCAAACCATCCAAAAAAATGCCTACCACGAAACAAACCCACATGGAATCCGAGGAGAACAGAAAATCTCTCCAATTGGAATCCTGTCACAAGCCAATGTCTTAAAGCTCTGGTCGAACTGACACCAAAGTGATGTTGCGGTACGGCTAGCGGGTTGGGCCTAATCAAAGGCACCAACCCCCTTGTCAGGCCCCTTTTGAAGTGCGCTGAATGAATATGGGGTCTGCAAATAGTTCCAACCTGGATAGCGGCTTGAAACGTTCGTCATTTGCCAAAAGCCGACCCTGCAAATCCCAAGCCTTCAATTGGACACTCAGTTAAGTCAAAGAGCAACCAATGACCATGCCGGCCCAGCGTGTTGGGCCATGGCTCCCTGGGAGCCCGGCACAAGCGATGTGGAAAATCATGGGTCTCACCAGGCTCTCCTATCAGGCGACTCGGTAAGGATGGGCGCGAGGCAAAGGACAAGCCTATACGTTATTGACCTCATAGGAGGGTAAATCCCAAAATGCTGTTCACAGCACCACCACTCTCAAAACAAAACACTGGAAGTAGCCGGATGTTTGATCGCTGGAAAGAACGGCAATTAAACCCTTAGGCTCAGAGTTCCCAAAGAAGACTCCCGGTTCAACTGTGGGCATCCTTGTTGGATAGAAGTCCACCAACGATTGATGAAGGCCTTCCCCATTAAAATGCACAGCCAATATGGACCTTCCTTGCGAGAACGGGGTCCCATACAAGCAGCTCCTAATCGGGTGTCTTAACTTTGAGGAAAGGGTCACACCGGTGTTTCCCAGTTGTTGCCCATGAGAAACACAAACAAGCAAGAAAACACCTCCTGGCCTAGATACAGCCACAGCTTCAGTTTTCCTCAATTCGACCTTTCTGCAATCCGACTGATCGGCTGATCCTTCCGCTTTCCGATCGTCAGCCCACTGCATCTCTCAGTCCACATTGGGCTGATCACTCGCAGAGGCTGCTGATCGAATTTCGCCAGGGACACTCACTCGGGCTTTAAATTGAAGTGAATTCTGCAGGTACGTCCACCATCTATGATTGAAACTGTTTCCCATTGAGACTCATTTGCAGTTCTCAATTGCCACTTGTGCAGGCTTGCTCTCGTAGGAGCTCCATCCTGTTTATCTCACACTACATGGAAGCGCGGCTCCCAAAAGGCTCTTCAAACTCCCAGATTTGTTGGTTCGGTTCTTGAGGGGATTGGCCCCAACAAAATCATATTGTGTGTTGCCGGTGAAACGGTTTTTTTCGAGAAGTACACAGTCCAGGAAATCAGGAAGTGGGTAGGGTTCAAAGCATGAACATTGCGGGGAACAAGCTAAATTAGACCCACTCAGATGTTCGAACCCCAAGTACCAGCAACAGTTGCCATGGAAAGTTGGCCATGGTAGCCCTTGATTCATACATCCCCCAGTCATTAATCCGCGGGACACCCCTGAAAACACTCTCCAAAAACGGTAACCTTAGTTTTTCCCACTAGAGCAGCGCGCAAAACCTCCTTTGGCCAGGTTCTAGTACCTGGTTTCATAGTTGTACGACGGGCTAAAAGACTGTTTATGACCATATTTGTAGAACCAGCAAGTCCCTTTCCGAGGGAAGCATAAGGACATCACCTTGAAAATATATAGTTGATGCGGTGGATGGGGGTTACATGTAAATCTGTGGGAAACACTACAAAGGCGTGTTTGGGCTTTTGCTGGTAGGAAACACCTCCCTGCAACTTCCTGGGGCTTCGCGATTGGATGTGGTTAGTTCATTTGCACTGCAATGCAAGGTATCAACAGTACGTGCTCTGGTAGCAATTGTGCAATTGACACATGCCTGGATTTCTGCGCCCTCGTCCCTGAGGAGAGCACAGTGACCTGCATACCGTGCCCACCCCTTGTATGCCCTATGCACATAGGCTGCCAATGCGAATTTAAAGAGCGATGCCAAGGGGTGGCCCAAAACTTCTGATGGTGTGTTGTTGCCATGCAAATCCATGCGCAGTGAGTAGCGCCTGGCCAATAGCGTCGCCGTTGGAAAGGGAAGTGAGGCTGCGGCATATGCCGCGCTGTGTACAGAACATGAGCAGTGCCCAACCCTATCTGCCTCAGCTGTTGCCCCCCAAAACCAACAAATACTTGTCATGCCAATCGGTAATCATTTAGTGAACCTTCAAATATCAACTGATTCCATTAGAGGTCCCCAAGCTATTGACTTGTGCTCTCTAAGCTTGTGCTTTGGGCTATCCCGTACGCTTGGGCTGTGGAGTTCAAGTAAATGAGCAACCATACCCCCCAATTTCAGGCCCCATTCGGCTACATACTGTACCAACTCTGGTTCATGAATATGTATGCTCCGGTACCCCCGCCTTATCTGCCCCCCGGCCAACTGCTACCTCCCCCTTCCCCTAGCCCAGCCTGGGCTCAACGAATACCAATTCAATACTACCAACCAATCCCCAACCACCGGGGGGAGGGGGGACACAGGGAGGGGGAGGGGGGAATTGTTGGCGTGGAACATATATAGTATATGTTAATTGATGTTTAATTAGTATTCTACATAGCCCTCATTGGACCAGGAAGCGGAACCCCCTGCTGTCTGGGGTTTTGGGCGCTGCTCACGTGTCTCCTGTCACCGTGCTTGTCACGGATACGCGAGCTGACATGCTGACCCAGCCACGGTCACTCAAGAAATGACAACTGAGCCATGGACAAACTCTTGATGTGGCTCATGGTCTGGTTCGGGCTCCCTTTTTCTGGCTGGTTAATCGTGAAGGAAGACCCCCCAGGCCCCTTAAACTAAGTTGAAAAAGGAAAGCCCCACTAGAGGCCTGGGTGAAAATGCAAAACGTCGATATAGTCGCATTTGCTGAATCTTCGAAGTGACACTCAAAACGCACATTTGCCAAATAGTTATCTTAAAATCTGAGAGGACCTCGGCTTATGCCGCCTCAATGTCTGGCTTCAAGTTCAAAGGCCCGCTGCGGCCGCCCGGGTGACGAGACACCTGCCCGCTCTTGTCCACTAGGAAGTAGCTGGCGAAGTTCCTCAGAACAAAAGACACCTCTCTCTCCTTTGCAAAAAAAGTCCCCCCCCCCCCCACGCCCCTCCATACATTATCCTCTCGCACCCACAAAAAGTAATGATTGTTCTTTATTAGGGGCACAAGCGCTCTTCCATACATCACTGAGGGGTGGGGATAAGAAAACCGACAGGGCACGTCAAACATTTTGGCCTGCTGAATAATGGGTATGTGACCCGCTCGTGCGAAGTTCCTAGGAATGAGCGAAAAACGCGTGCCATCTGCCTCGCGGCGCTTAATGGGCGATCGCGCAAACAGGGTCTTGCCTGGGCAATTTCGGCGGTTTTGGCGTTGTTGTTGTCGCACGCCCCCTGCTAGAAACTGCCAGAAGTCCAACCGGGCTACGTGTTAAGGGCGCCTTGAGTATGTGTAACATGGTCAAAACTACCTCCCTTGCGAAGACTTGCTTGTCGACCATCCCTACCAACCAAAGTAAAGGGTGTTTTGAACAAGGAACGCCTGAATGCCCCACAAGATTCTGGGTGCCACGTAAAAAGCAAGCAAAACCGATAAGGGCCCAAAAAAACCGATCGCGTGGCATTGTCCGATTACCATTAATGATCATTGGAATCCCTCTCTTTCGTGTGGCTTAGATGTGAACTGCCCAAAAGGTGGACGACCCCTGAACTATGGATTACCCGTTGTCAAGTTCCTGAAAATCATATCCTCGTGAGGCATCGCCGTATGCCGGTTGGCTGATTCTGTTAGACCGATGGATTTCACAAAAGAGCCATTGACAGAATCTTGCCACATCCATTGGTTCAATTATTGCAAAGGACGGGGAAGTACGAGTACCTTTCAGTACGTTCCATGATGCTGCCAGAAGGAACACTCCACTAATTACACTTGATCATCGAGATTGTTGCGCAACTCAGACCTCCAGTTGATTTCCATTGAGAAAAAGGCTCACACTTTGTTAGGTTGGTCTATTCTAAAAACAAACCACTGGAGGTCCCGAACAAAAGCTGAACAGTCGAGGCACCACTTGATGTCGGCCGCATCTGTCGAAGCCTTGAGAAACTGGTACACCGGGTGTGCCCCAGGCCCATTCACATCCACCTTCTCCATGAGGAGGAAGCCTGACCAGTGGTTCTGGTTTCCATGTTATACGTAGGGTTTCCTTTCTTGGGGATGGTTGCGAGGAAATCCACATGGAAAGCAGACATTTTGGGGGTCCCCGCTATTCGCAAACAAAAAGTAACTGGGCTCTCAGGGGGTAACTCCGAACCCATCCCAGCCTGAGTCTCCATCAACAGGGGCGCCCTGCTGCTGCACGAAGGTCTTGATTTCTGAGGCGGAACCTCCGAGGGTTGGGCAAGCCAGGCGCTGGCAACTGAGATGGAAGAAAAGACTCCCAGGGCTGATGATAGAGTAAGTCGAATACAACAAACGGCTACGCAAACACTTAAACCTACACTACTTTGGGATCATGTCCCCCACGCAACTTTCTAATTATTTAGGCCTTTGCATTCAGGAACGGGTGTTTCAGCATGTTTTAAGACTGGCCTGGCCCAGTCCTGCCTCCGAGTTCTCTAGTTGAGACCCGTGGGTACTATTGGGTACCTCAGGGCCCAAGGGTTCAAGGTGTTTTAACCTTAAAGTGAAACCAGCCGGCAGGGTTGCCCAAAGTTTGTTACCTTTTGCAAACGGGACAGCATATAGCCAGAACTCGAGAAGAGCTTGAACGGTTGGCGGTGGGCACAGTGAGGCTTAACAGGGGGTCTGGAAAAGAACACACATTCCTATCCCTGACTGGAGTAGGAAATCAACAATCATGGTTGTTATCTTGCAACCAGGCAATCATCTTTATCCCTAATGGGCGCTTGCATGTGGATTGTTTTCATACATAAGGGGACACCCCGCAATGGGCGTTGTGAATTTGCTGACCCTTTGAACAAACCCCGCAAAAAGGTCTCTCAACACAAGACAGGTCCATATCATTCTGGACTGAGAGTACTTGGGATCTTGTTCGGGTTTTTGTATTGAACAATGCACCTAATTAGGACAACACAATATTGTATTTGCATGTGGTATGTTTGGAAGGTCCATCCCCAAGTTGCCTACTGCTGGTTCAAATGAGTCAACTCTCATAAGGTGGTTGGCCTCTCTGAAAAGTGGCTTGAGAAGCGGTTTTGGTGCCCTTTGATTAGTTCGGTTGCACCTGCCCTCGTTTTGTGGTTGAAAATTGGGGTCCCATGTGCTGATTTGTTCCGCTGGAAATCGCCGACTCCGCGGATAAGCCCCCCCCCAAAAAAAAAAGCAAGAACTAAGGGAAAAGGGCACGAAGGTCTGAGAATCTGCTGCTCCACGCGCCTGGCTCCTGCTGTCCAAACTGGTTGCAGGGAAACGCCAGGATCGCCAAGCGGCTGCCAAAGTGTTTATTCAGTTCCTCGGTCGAGGCAAAAACACGGGCTATATGCATTGTGTCCCCAACATGGAACTTTGGTGACCACTATTCCGCAATGGTATGTTAGAACATACTGCATGACATCCCTTGAGTATATACAGACATCAAATATTGACCACAACTCATATCCGTCGGCTTCGAAAAAAACCAAAGGGCACCCTGCAAAGAAACAACGATATCAACGAGGATGGCGACAATGGTGAGCAGCCTCCACCGAATGCTGTGTCCCAGGCTCAACACGACGACTGGCGTCACCTCCTTAACAGCTTTGGTACTTGGAGTTGGAGACAAAACAAGGCCAACTACCTCGGTTGTTCTTTGACACAACCACCAGAAAGGGGCACCAACTCCAAATGTCCCCTTTGGCCTTTGTTGCACGACCCAAGCAAGGACCAGCTCCCATGATACTCCCATTTCTGGTCACTAGTCAGCCGCACACTCTTCAGGGCGACCCGTGCCATTCATTCTCTTCCGTCATGAACTGCTGGCTTTAGATTACGCGGCCGGAACTCCAAAACTAGATCGTTCACAAGCCGACATTCAACACCTTCTTTTCACTTTTGCCAGGACATTCCCGTGCGTTGCTCGCTGCAAAACTAGCTTGTCATAAGAATCTAGTGCCTCTCTCGTTCTTGCTCTTTGCTGGAATCATCTCAATAAATACCGCTGAATTCAACCTTAAACAAGCAAAGTAGTGCTCTTTGACCCCCCAAGCAGTGTGATTTGCCGCATGCTCGTGGCCAAGATTCAATCAGCTCGTTGTAGTGCTTCTTGGTAAACCCTGTCAGGGCGGAAAGTTCCAGGGTCGGAGTCCTTTCCCATAAATGGATGCGTCTCCAAATGGCATAACCTTCGACATGCGTGGTCTCTTTGGATTGAAACGATCCCTTCAAACGGGCAGCCCATTTGGCCTCAGCTGTTGCCAACACAATACGCTTGCTTATGGTCCATATTATATCCATATTTAGTGACCCTTACTGTCGAATCATGCCAAACAAAATTCCAGCCATGGGGCACTGAAGAAAAACACCCCCCTTCCCGCGGAAAGATCGTAAAACAGGAACAAGTTTCAACCTCCTCCAATGCTCCATCTGGCTGAATAATACAAAACGTAATACTTCCCCTACCGAAAAGAAGGAATAAGGGTCCCTATCTGACTTCCTGAGTAGATGTGGCAAAATCAATGGATCCAGACTCAAACAAATCCAGTCTTTCAGCCAAGCATTGTTCGGCTCAAAATCAGCAATTTCCCCGGGCGTTTGGCGGTTTGCCGGAAAGAGAAGAACAGGGGAGCTGTGATCCCCAAAGCGCAAAACGAAGACTGGGTCACGCCTCATCTGGATGCCACGTTGGCAACCAAAACCGCCTGCCCCTGAAGGCTTGAAAACTGCACCTCCAACCTCAGCTCCCAAGATTTCCTTTTGTCACCTTAGGGAGAAAAACCTAAGGGTTTTCTAAGCCCGCCCTGTTGAAAAAGGGGCACCACAGGAGGTCTGGGTCTCTTTGTGGTTGACATGGCGGAAAGGGCTATTCATCGGCCACAACTATGGGTGTGCGGCCCGTGTAAGCGTCAACATTCGAGACGGTCGCTGTTGGATAGACGGCTGGATGGATGAGGAAAAACTAGGAGAGCACTGTCAAAACACCACGCAGTTGCCTAAGTTAACAAACCTCCGCCCAAGCATTGTAGCCTTCTGGGCAACTTACTACAACTCTCAATCTGGAAGTAAGGGAATCCAGAATCGACTTTGCTTTACCTTGCTGGTGAACTCGATTATTATATTTGCCCATACAGACCATTGCCAAAAACAAAATGACTGGCTCCCATGCAACGGATGTATAGTAAACATGGAAGCACCCACATCTCTTGTTCAATCCGTCAAGGACTTATCAAACAGTTAAGATGGGCGTAAACAAACAAACTAGCTTCCTTGAAGCCAACCAAAACATGGGCTTCACCATGCTTGACCCATGATTTATGTCTTTGGGGGTCCCTGATTTCATGCTGGCTGATTCTATATATTTGCCCAGGACAGTTGTTTACTTTGCGCTCCTTTCGAAAACAAAAAACAAGAACATGGGTTTCTCTTTGAGACTAACAAGAACATGGGGGTTCCCTCTGAAAGCAACCAAGGCAACTAGCTGATAGGCCCAAATATCCTGTTAGCTTCAAAGAAAACCCATTTTGCTAGTTGCTCTAAAAGGCAACCCGTGTAGCTGTTGGCTTCTGAGGCCCACCTGCTGAGGGGCTAAAACATGGTAACTGCTTTTGGCCCGCTAGGATGACAAACAGTTGCAAACTTTGACACTAAGCTATGCCACACTGCGCCTTTGGGCCGAGGAACCCATTGATATCCCTGGCCGACAGGCTGTAGAAACCGCCTGGGCCGGAACCTCAGGGACTGAGTGAAGCCATCCGGTGCATGAATTGATTTGGGCCGAATTGAAATTTTCGAGGGGGGGGGGCTTTACATCTCTATTCTGGGTGATTCAACATGAGTTTCCTGATGGTGGGGAGCCCAAAGGCCCTCTCTTTGCCAGTTCCATGAAAAGGCTCTCTTGGGAATATGGGTTCCCAAGCTTTGCTGCTCAGTGTGGAGATTCCTTTTTGGAAAAGCAACCAACGAGATCAATAACTGAGCCGCCGCTGAATGTGAACCACACATTGATCAAGGCACCTAAATCGCCTTCAGGGGCCCCAAAAAGGATGCAACACTTGTTGTTGAAGGAGTCTGACATGTCGAACAGCAAAATAGCTAATTGTCATGTCCCTACTCACCATCATCCACCAACATGCTGGTTGTGGCGCAATTTGGGGAAACAACACAGCAGAGACGCTTTTGGGGGAGCAGGGATGGGAATTGGGGGGAGAGCCCAACAAAGCATGGTAAGTGTAAATGGTCCTTGAAAACAACAACCACATCCCTGATATTTTGGTCTCACATCTTAAGCGGGTTCGCAAGAAAAAAGAGCTGTTTCGATGTGTGCCTTTAAAATTGTCTTCCCCAAAAGTGTAGTCTAAAGAAACTAGAGACGTGAAATAATGCACACACCCGAAATAAGGAATATCCATGGCAGGCAATCTTCACGATAGGGTGACATGGGTCCATATATATATATATATAGTACTGAACAAAAACATCCGGGTGCAGGCCATTTGGACCTTTTCTTTGCCAGAATTAGAGCCAAAACAAAGTCGAGCAGGAAACATGAAGGAAACCCCAAAAAAGGTTGAAAAAAAGGTGAGCCAAGTCCGGCAATCTGCTTAGATCAATAAGAAAGCTGCCGGCAGGTTGGTAAAGTCTAGCAATGCTACAATCTGCCCCCTACAATTGGCCTACCGAAGAGAGCCATTTTGGGGCGAAATACGTGATTGAGTCTGGTCATATTTTGACCAACAAAGCGCTTGCCGAGGTGCTGCACAGGCACCGGGAGATCTGCCCCAAACGCTGCATCCACCGCCCGGACGACGCCATCGAACGCCGATCCGCGAAGAAAACCCGCGGCCCGGTCGAGCAAAAACGCTTCAAGTGGGCCAAGGGCGCCGTCTGAAGACCTATCTCCGACTCAACCCAACTTGTCTGGCACGACAAAAAATCCAAGGCGTTGGGAGGGTTTTACTGGGTTGTTCAACTTCCCTGAACCACTGACTGTTCACCCCCAACAAAAAACCAGACACACAGGGTACCAAGGGACCCGCAGGGCAAAACAATTCAGACACAAAGCTGTAAACCAACAAAAGAACGGGCGGTTTTCGGAAATCGGCTTCGGCCTCCACGAGGGTTGTCCTTCTGCCAAATCCGTTTTCGGAGATGTGATTGGCATGCCTCCAAATGGAAACCATTGCAATTGTGGGGTGTCTATTGGAAACCCACGCTGGGGTCCCAAGCGCCCCATCGGTGCGGTGACGAATTCACTCCGGACGACTCAAGTGGCACTCTCTCCTCATAGACCTGAGGCTCCCCGGTGAGGGAGGAGAGGAGATCCCCACCCGACACCAGTTCCAAGGCCTGAGACAGGCGCAACTGGCACTTGCGAAACCGTGATTGGGAGTCCAGGATTTACCACCCTCTGGGTGATTCACATGGGGGTGGTGCCATTTAAGAGGGATTCCTTCACTTTTTGGGAAACACCCCTGCCCCCCTTTTGCTCCCCCTCCCGTTAACACGGCCCAAAGAACTCTGCAAATGCGTTGAGACCCCCTTTCTGGATAGTTCGAGCTAGAGAAACTTTTTTTTGAACAGCTCTCAACCCCTATTAACTTCCAGTGCCAACAGTGTAGTCACAAATGAATTATGGACGAGTCCTTTTGAATGGAGAGCCCCTCGTTGCTTTTTAAAGGGGCATCGTTGGGCAGCCAAACCCATACTGAGTAGTACTGGGTGTCAAATAAGGTTTACACAACAACAAATAACACATACTCATCCCCTTTTGGTTTCCATTGTGCAAATTCAGACAAGGATTATTTAGCATCCAGCATGGTGTCCTCGCAAGTTCATCCCAAGACCTGGGAAAAGTCGCTTTGCCCCAGGCAGTTTGGGGGAGCTGCTGACATGCCCTAAGGGTCGCTTAGTACCTTCTAGCACGTTGCTTCAACCCTCTAACCCTCAGTTGGATGCAGGAAAAATAAGCTTTTGGAGGGTGTGGGTCGTAATTTTGAGCTTTTCTTGTGAAACCCTGAAGGTTGGGCAGCTTCAACATGGTGACGCCTATGAAATAGACTCTCACAGCCCATAAAGCCTCCGCAGCAGGTTTGCTGATTTCCCATAAACCTTCACTTCCTGAGTGACAACGCCCGAACGTTTTGCTTGCCACTACTGTCACTAAGTGCGGGAACTCAGGCATTCAGAAATTCCAACTTCCCGGCAAGTTTATCGCTGTTTAGATGAATTCTGGGCAACCAGCCCCCAAAGGGCTCCAAAAAAGCAATGACTTCATACAACGTCGAGGGATTCAAGCAGCCGTAGCTGCCTTGGGGGGGTTGCTCGGATGAGGCTGCGGCGAGGATCATCCAGTCGCTCTCTTTGTCCACAAAGGCCTCGTGGAACCTGACCTCGAATCTTCTCTTGGCCCGAATTGAGAATGGGCTGTGGGTCAAAACCAATGGAACCATTTTGGGGTAGGTGCACCACCCATTTTAGTCGATTTTAGTGCGGATTGGGATGTTCACTGGGCTTTTGGGCTTTTGACCCTTTGCCAATACTTGTCAGCGTCCCAACATTGAAGTTGAGGGTCCTGTCTGACACAGCTGGGGCGAGACGGTGGTGAGTATTTCCTCAAGCCGTTCGATCATTGGGGGGGGTCAGAAGGTAATCCCAATTTGTGTCGGCCAGTGATTCCACTTACCGCATGTTTGCAGGTAACGCTGGGAACCACCCTTCAAATCACGGAAATAACATGGCAACCTGAATGATACGCTGATTTCAAGAACACCCAACCGCGTCCCAACACAGTCATGACAGTTCCTGTCAAGGATGGCACAAAAGGTGGCCTGGCAACAAAAAGGACTTCTGTTCCCTGACCTGCTGAGTTTGCTAGCCAGAAAAGCGTGCCTGCACTTTTGGGCCTTGACAACTCATATGAAGGGACCAATCAATACTCAGTACTGCAAAATAAAAGCTCAACTGGCAAGTTGAGAATACCTTTTCGGGGTTGTATTCATGTCAGCTTTGGATTCATCCTAGGATTTGTTCCATGGGCGATTCCTTAAACTGGCATGATGCTCCAGATTCGTCCGACACAAGAAACTCAAGGTGAACCGCGCAGTTTGGGTGGGAGGGTTCCCCTCAAACAAAGCTGATTGAAACACGAAAATCCAGTAAGTGAACCACGCTAGCTCGGTTGATTCCCCAAGGGCCCTGCGAAAGGACAACGCAGTTGTGTTTGGTGCGCCTTTGAACTACCAATGCAGCAAGAAGGGGGATGCCGCAAAAAATGCCCAACATCTCTCGGGGCAAAACAATAACCAAACTGCACACAAGTAGCAAGCATACCAACCTGACCAAAAAAGGACAATGCACGTGTGATCCCTCGCTCTTTTTGCGGCATCAGAAAACTGGCTCCTGGATTCTCTGGGTGGACTCAAACATCCAGTGGGAAAAAGGGCACCAGCGAGATCTACAACTTGCAGCGCTGCCGCTGGAAATCTAAGTCTCGCAGTGAGGCTCTGGCGATGCTGGGGTGGTCCAGCATCTTCAGGATGTTGACTTCCTTCGTGCTTCCGGACATCGTGGCATGTCTTGCCAAGCCCGACAAGCCCAAACATGAAATCCAGCCAGCCAGCCAAACCAACCTATCTTCTCCGTTGGTTGCCATGCCAATCGCCCAAAAAGTCCTGCCTGTGCCAACATGGGCTCAGTGGCCGAGGCGTTCTCTGAGACTTTGAGCGCCACCTCCTGCAAACTTTGCCCGGATGCAGGTTTTGGGGGTGGGGGGGAAGGGGCCTGTCGAAGTTGATGTCCTGTCAAAAACCTTGGTCAACAGAAGTTGTTTGTTGTTGCACCTTTAAACATTCTTCCTGGGGTGCCCCCACAAATACAAAGACTTCACGATTTGGATGTGAAAGGGTATTAAATGTACTTGGGGGACGCTTCTCTTTTTGGTTTGCAAAGCTGTTTGAGGTGTGTGTGTGTGTGTGTTTTCTTCCAAAGAGACTCCTGTTAACAATGTTTCTGCGAACAGATTTCTGCACGGCTTCTCAACACCTTCAAGCATACGACCCACGGATGTGAAAGAACATGCGCACATTGCTGACAGGTCAGATGCAGCTGGCACAGCGATTTCAGTGGCAGGCGCAGCACTTGTGCAAAATCAGGCGCAGATTTCGTGGTAGACGGTAGACGCAGTATTTTCGCGATGTCAGTGAGTCAGGTACAGCGCTCGTAACAGACCTATAGATAGATACCTGGACATAACAACAGATTCGATTAGCTGAAAACATAGGTAGACAGAACGATAGATGAAACGATGACATACCGATACACAGACAGATAGAAAGATAGATAGATGGACAGAGATAAATAAATGGATAGGTAGATGGGTGGATGGATGGATCAATGGATTGATGGATGGATAGATGGATACATAGACACATAGACAGATAAACATAGATGGAGATAGAAATACAGACAAGTAGATAGACAATAAATAGACACATAAGTAATTAGATTGAAAGAGAGATAGATATAGGCCTGAAGCACCCAATGTGCCTTGTTTTTCAGGTACGATAAACAAACCAGAGACAAAAAACGCAACAATTTCTGCTCGCCCCCCCCCCCAAAAAAAAAAAAAAAAAAAACGCTCCGCCCCCCCCCCCCAAAAAAAAAAAAAAAAGAAAAGAAAGAGCTGGATAAAATCGCTTGTTTTGCGGCTATTTGCGCTCGTTTTGCACTTTGAATTCTGCTCGCTCTTTTCAGCGACCGATCATCTTGGAGGACCGGTCAGCCCGGTTTTGGGAAAATGCTAAGCAGCATAAAAGTGTACGTTACGTACGCTTCCCATATTTTGGCGGCGACCCTTGGTTTGCAATAGAGTTGGGCTAAGGAACAAAATTTAGGTAACGAAGGGCGCCCCAGGGTAGGGGGATAAATGGATTCGAAGATAGACAAACAAACAGATCGGTATACATAGACAGGTGTAAATGGGTAGATCGATGACGGATGCATGGATGCATGCATGCATGGATGCATGGATGCATGGATGCATGGATGCATGGATGCATGGATGCCTGGATGGATGGATGCATGGATGCATGGATGCATGGATGGATGGATGCATGGATGCATGGATGCATGGATGCATGGATGCATGGATGGATGGATGCATGGATGCATGGATGAATGGATGCAGATGGATGGATGCATGGATGCATGGATGCATGGATGCATGGATGCATGGATGGATGGATGCAAGGATGCATGGATGCATGGATGGATGGATGCATGGATGCATGAATGCATGGAAGGAAGGATGGATGGATGGATGGATGGATGGATGGATGGATGGATGCATTGATGCATGGATGCATGGATGCATGGATGCATGGATGGATGGATGCATGGATGGATGGATGCATGGATGGATGGATGCATGGATGCATGAATGCATGCATGCATGCATGGATGGATGGATGGATGGATGCATGGATGCATGGATGCATGGATGCATGGATGCATGGATGCATGGATGCATGGATGCATGGATGCATGGATGGATGGATGGATGCATGGATGCATGCATGGATGCATGGATGCATGGATGCATGGATGGATGGATGCATGGATGGATGGATGGATGGATGGATGGATGGATGGACGCATGGACGCATGGACGCATTGACGCATGGATGCATGGATGCACGGATGCATGGATGCATGGATGGATGGATGGATGGATGGATGCATGGATGCATGCATGGATGCATGGATGCATGGATGCATGGATGCATGGATGCATGGATGCATGGATGCATGGATGGATGGATGGATGGATGGATGGATGGATGGATGGATGGATGGATGGACGCATGGACGCATGGACGCATTGACGCATGGATGCATGGATGCATGGATGCATGGATGCATGGATGGATGGATGGATGGATGGATGGATGGATGGATGGATGCATGGATGCATGGATGCATGGATGCATGGATGCAGGGATGCATGGATGCATGGATGCATGGATGGATGGACGCATGGACGCATGGATTCATGGATGCATGGATGCATGGATGCATGGATGGATGGATGCATGGATGGATGGATGGATGGATGGATGCATGCATGGATGGATGGATGCATGGATGCATGCATGGATGGATGGACGGATGGACGCATGGACGCATGGAGGCATGTATGGATGGACGCATGGACGCATGGACGCATGGACGCATGGAGGCATGGAGGCATGGAGGCATGGAGGCATGGACGCATGGGCGCATGGACGCATGGACGCATCACGCATGGATGCATGGATGCATGGATGCATGGATGCATGGATGGATGGATGCATGGATGGATGGATGGATGGATGGATGGATGGATGGATGGATGGATGGATGGATGGATGAATGCATGGATGCATGGATGCATGGATGCATGGATGCATGGATGCATGGATGCATGGATGCATGGATGCATGGATGCATGGATGCATGGATGCATGGATGGATGCATGGATGCATGGATGCATGGATGCATGGCTGCATGGATGCATGGATGCATGGATGCATGGATGCATGGATGCATGGATGCATGGATGCATGGATGCATGGATGCATGGATGCATGGATGCATGGATGCATCGATGCATGGATGCATGGATGCATGGATGCATGGATGCATGGATGCATGGATGCATGCATGCATGCATGCATGCATGCATGGATGCATGGATGGATGGATGGATGGATGGATGGATGGATGGATGGATGGATGGATGGATGGATGGATGGATGGATGGATGGATGGATGGATGGATGGATGGATGGATGGATGGATGGACACATATGTAGATAAATAGAAGGTTAGACAGTGACAGATAAGCAAATAGATGGGTTAGGCACAGGAGCATAGATAAATGACAGAACTTGTGTACAAGCTGGCTCTCACTTTCCCAAAAGCGCGCGCTTTGTTCCACGCGAGGCCCTGCGCAGCCTACTGCGGGCCACACACAAAGACTTTAGCACCCCAAGCTCGCTCTTGCAAACACGCGCAGCTGCGCCTCTCTCACAGGAAGGACCCTCTAGCTCCACCAGGGTCACAAATCTCGCCACCGGCTCGTGCCAATTCCAAGCTCTGCAAGGACATATCCGTGCAACTACCGCTTTCACAAAGGATCGACACAAACATCGTGATGCATATCTGTCAACAAAAGACAGAGAGTGTCACATCAACTCACGCTGGCGGCCGCCAGGAGACAAAGCACAAGAACGAGGGGCAAGAGTAGGTAGCGGTGCTAACGGAAGGCATAGTAGTAGATATGCTATACATATTGTACGTGTAGTAAATATAGATATAGCACAAGCAGCAGCCAGTAGCAAGTAGTACGCAGTGTGTAGTACGTAGCAAATGGCAAGTAGAAAACAGAAAGTAGTATTGCAGCGAGCAGAAGCAGCAAGGGTAGTAGTAATAGCAGCAGCTAGTAGAAGCAGCAGAAGCAGCAGGACCAGCAAGAGGAGCAGTAGTAGATAGCGGCGGCGGCGGCGGCGGCGGCGGCGGTGGTGGTGGTGGTGTATGTCTACAGGGACCCCTGCTCAGGGGTAACCATTCTTTGGCGCACTGTGAATTGTGCAATGAAGTGCCTCCCGCCGGCGAATCCAATCCATGCCTTAGCACCCCGAAACACGTGCGAAGCCGCCTCGCCGTCGATTCGGCGCTTGCCCTTGTACACCACACCAAAGGCACCTCGCTCGGCTTCCCAGGGTGAAGTGCGTAGTATGTTTGTCTCTGATTTGTGTCAAACAACATAAAACAACACACTTGTCAACTTAATACACCTAATTTACGGTTGTCAGACAATTAAAACTCGTCTTAAGTGGCGGTTTGGTTCCTTACTGTGCCCGCTCTCCCCAGCCCTCAAGCCCGCCCGGGCCTTTGCCCAGCGCCCCCGCCGGCATGCCGGCGCGCTTCGGGGGCGTTTCCCGGGCCACTTGGTACCCGTGGGCGAAGAGCACCTGGTCCTCGGCGCCCGGATGCATTGAAACCCCGAAAGCCTACTCCACTTGGTGTTTCCAAAAACGAAGCCCACCACCAGCTTAGTGCGTTTTGTTCATTTGTTTTTCTCGATATGGTTCGACCACAATTTAAGCCCTGACCATTTCTTTATGAAGGCGTCCTTTCTCAAGAATCCATGTTAATTCTGCCTGCACTGGGCTCGCCAGTTTTCTGCACGGCTTCTCAACGCCTGCAAATATATGACCCACTAATGTGAAAGGACACCATTAAAAAGCACCCCCCCGCGGAGGACTGGGTCAACTGGCAAGTCCCCCACTCAAACCAATATATTTTTCCCAATGGATTGGAATTGGAAGACTACAACATCTGAGTGTTTTCCTTTGGCCTTCTCTTGCATGTTCTCCACCCCTCCACCCCGATCTCCAGTGGCCATCGGAAATGAACAACCCCTTCTTGGTTTAGTTGAATTGAAAGGACAACCTTCCCCCCAAGGATGTTAGTTTCATCCATACACTTGGCCGAAGTCAAATTCAGCCCCCCAAAAAGAAGAACAAAGACTTGACTCAACCAAGGTGCCAGGTGCTCATCCGTAGGCTTGGCAGGGCGTGGCAGCATCAGCGCCTGGTGCCAAAGGCCGACCTTTTTGGGGCGGGAGGGGGGGCTTCTCGATGGCGACTCACCCCAAATCACCAAGGGAAATCGGGTAACACTCAATGGGAACAAGATTGATGGTAGCTTTGGTGGTGGGGTTCCTTTGGCCCACCTTTGGCCTGCGTTCTAGGCTTAGAAGACACTTCGTTACCCACGTATTACAATTGCTTTCACCTCCAATTGGGGTCGACTGGCCCAAATCGATTTCAACCTTTTGGCCCTTGACTGAAGCGATGGAGACATCTCGCAACAAACTAACACTGTAGAAGCTGAACTGCTAAGCCATGGCAGTTTTTTGTGGGGGCTCTCAGCTCAACGGTCTGATGGGAACAAACACGATCTGTGTGGACCATAGTAAAAAAGGAAAAACATGTCATAACCAGGGGAAATGCAGGGAATCAAGCGCTGAAAGTTCACTTGTTGCCATAGTTGCAACTGGCCGGAAAACTAATATTATTCACAAGCAGAAATCAGGAACCAAAGTAAAGGCCTGCATCATGGGCGAGCGGGTTCATAATGTTCATACTTTAAAGCCCCCTCGTTAAACCAGGTTCGTTTCATAGAACTTGCTGGTAGTTTTAACGCAAACAACATCAAACAAATAGCTTGTGAGGCGCAAAACGCCTGCAACAGGCTCAATCAAGAGCAACCTCCCGAGCTGATGCTGCAAACACCGGCAAAACACCGCAACAAGCGCACATCCATGACAGCCCTAAAACACCTAGATGACTGGAAGACCCAGGATTTTTTAGGAGGATCTCCAGGTTACTCTAATGTATGCAATACATGTATGAGCAAGCCATATGTGCACATGTGCGCGTGAGCCTCGTTGGCCTTGGACAGGCGCGTCTGCAGGTTGACATCGTCCTGAGATGAATGTCTCTGCAACCAAGCAATCTACAGTTGGGTTTGACTTTCTCGCAAACGGAATAAACGGACCCAGCACTGAAGGTGTGGGTCGTGGTCGAGTTCGTTTTTGCTTTTCCTTCGAACACTTCAGGTCCCACCGGCCCTGCCTGGGCACGAGCGGCGCCATCGTAGGTGTGATAGGCGTTGTTCAGGGAATCCTGCGGACGGACAGACAAAAATACGTGCTTCGCAGGACGCTGGTGAATGAGTGGCGTGGTTGTTGTGGGGCCAACCTCCCATGTCCCGAACCCCGAATGGATCATAGCCTAAAGAACAATTGGATCACACCTGACCAGCCTTCGCGAGCTCACCTCAATTTGCTTAGATCCAAACTCCCAAACTTGGGAACCCCTTCTAGAAAGGTGTCTCAACTCAACAAGAGGAAACCAACCAGTCTAATTGACACGACAATTCTGGCCAATGTAAGTTTGCACATTGGTGTGCCTTGAAGTAGGCGATCCACCTACAAATGAAGTGCACCCTGGTCCCTTTGAAGCAGTCCAACTCATTTGGACACTCCCCCACGTGAAGTCCATTCAAAGCCCCCCTGCACAAACCGACAAGTTTGGCTTACCCCAACACAAGCAACTCGTGCGGGTTTGGCGGTCAGACCACCATCCCCAAATGCTTTCCAGGTTTCTTCTTTAGGGAGTGTTGAGTTGATGTCGCACGGCTCCAGTTTTTACTGGAAGGAACCCTGCGGTCCTCAGGGCCTACCCTCTCGGACATTGGCATGGAGGGGGTGACCGATGGTGCCACGGACACGGACGGCGGCACCGCACCTCCCGCTTCACAGACATGATTAGGTACGAAACCAAAGGGTTCCCCACCAAGCCGGAGCCCAAGAAAGCTTCTGAAGGATTTTGATAAGTTCTGATAGAAGTGTTTCGGATTGAATCTTTCAGGGCAGTTGGTGGGCCCCGGTTCTGTCTCTCCGTATCCCCGGGCCTCCAATGGATACTCATGGGAGAAAAGGGCGCCCTATTGGGAATGTTTACGGGAAAAAAGCTTTGCTTCAGATGTTTGAGAGGACATCCCATTGGCTACCACAATCTGGAGCTCTGGGCCACTTGACATGTTGCACGGTGGTGATACGAAAACTCAAGTCGCCCCTTTTCAGAGGTCAAAATTCAAATAGCGGGTCTGGACAAATCAAACAAGCACCTTCCCCTGTGGTGTATTTTGCGGAAAGCTTAATATGACGCTTGGGATTTAGCACCCAGAACAACAAAAGCTGTGCGCGACGAATGGGCCGATGCCGCGTCGCTGGATCATTTCTTGACATGCCATTAATGCAAGAGGGCACAGAAAAATTAAACATTGTATGTTGATTGTTTTTACAGAGCTGTACCCCCAACATGGAACCGGACTGGTGGACAATTTCCTCTCAATGACCTTCTAAAAGGCTCCACGTTTTCGGGTGAGAGGGTATTCCGTAGCACTGGCTCAGAATGGCTGCGCTTGTTGCGGCCGTGTGGCCATCCGACGCTAAAGCCACTTGGACTCAGCCTTTGCCTTTCAGCCTTTGGTTCGGGAAACTCCCCACGAACGAGCTTCCACAAGGCGCCACACACGTCAAGCTGTCAAACATGTGGTAACCATGGAGCGGCCTTCGATTCACTGAGGAGGTGGGCGTATCCGGTTCCAACTTTGTCAACCGGCCTTTCACGACGCAAACGATTAGGTCGGCACTGCCAGTATTGATCAGTTGAATGGAAAGTGAAAAGGCTTGCTGGAGTCTTCAATGACTCAACTGCTTCGAAATGCCAAACACCTGGAATTTTGTGTTCTCAGGTGTCTGGCATCTCCACGATCTTCCAAACATGAGGTATTGGGCACATACTTTGCGGTGTCGAGACCTTTTGTTGAAGAATATTGGAGACTTCAGGCATCTGAAGACGCGATCCAAGAGGGTGTCTCCCAAGCGACTCAGGGCCTTTGTTTATGCCCGCCCCCTTTTTAGTACTCGCCAGGGTTCCGGAGAGAAAAATATGTGTGCCGTTTGGCGCAGTAAGAATTGCAGTGGCACAAAACGGGTTTGTCACAATACACATATTGTATTGGGTTCATGGTTCGAGTTCACCAACCGGAAACAAACGGGGACACCCCTTCCAAAACTCAGGGCGGCCACTATAATTCAGCCAGTTTGAATTTAGGTTGCTGGCTTGCCACAAGAGAACCGGACAGAGGTAAAACTGGGTTCCTTTTGAAAAGGAGCCGCAACTTGCGGGTGGATTTCGATAAACAAATACGACACTGTTGAACGCCGCGTGTGTTTGTGATCTTAACCACTTATATGTCATGGCCCTCGTTTTGGGGGTGTTCCTACCTCGCTGAGCACCTAAATCGGTATGTCATACCGGCCTGTTTTTAGTGTAGTCTTCTGTTTGCAGAGCCAGTCGCTCATATATCAGATTATCAGGTGCACCTACTCCAAGGGTACGTGTTTGAGCCAATAGAGTACTAGCAGTCATTTTCTCTCCAGGATCTTTGTTGGAGTTGTAACCTCTTCGCCGCACTGCTGGGGAAATGCAAGCGCAGCCTGTGCTGCCCATCCTTCCTGCCCGTCCCGCCAAGACTGCGGCGTTGCCACTTTGATTGTATGGGGATCTCTCAGAATATCGGCACCATAGACTGAGTCACGGCAATGCTGTTGGTTCCCGAAGAGGACACGGAAAAAATGGTAAAGGTCCCTCTGTCTCGTCCTCCCCAAACTGACAATAGACCAGCCTGGTCTTCCCAACAAAGGGCCAAAACGCTGGAAGTGCGAAGGTCACATAAAGGCTGTCTCCTGCCAATCCCCGGGAAATCAAAGGTTGAACAAAAGTGTGAACTTTTGGGGTCCCCTCAAAAGTAGTCTTTTGAGGGGTGCCCACCAAAAAATAAAAAGCCTGGACCTGGAGGAGTGCTTTCCGCCACAGACGTGATCTGCACCGCAGGCCGCTCTGTTGCCTTCCGGGGCTTCGGCCGGGGGTTGCAAAACCCTCCATTGCACTGGATCGAAATGAATTGTGCTTTTCGCTTGAAAGAACAAAGAGAAGGGAGGCCACCTGGTTAGAACTGTTCGAATCCAAATGAGTGTGCCAAAGCCCAACCGGATCGGTTAAGCTGGGCTGGCGGGACAATGCTGCTTTCCCGTAGCTGCCCTTCTCGGTGTTTGGGAACCCCCGCTATTCCACCTCCGCGTTTGCTCCAAACTAAACACATGTCTTGGCATGCGATTCTGGCCCATGACAACAGTTGGCTGCTTTGAGGGAAAGCAACAAATCACCCGGGCCCCATATCCAGGATCCGTTCCCGGATTTTGAGACATAAACGCGCTGAGCAGAACTTCCTTTGGGTGACTTCCGCCCTTGACCTAGAAAGTCGTATTGTGGATGAAGAAATCCACTTTGCACCAGTCAAATGGATGAAACCCTATGAATACTGGGATAGACCGCACATCAACTGGTGCAGGAGGATGTCCATCAACAGTATGAACAAAGCCTGTCTTCATTCCTAAACTTGGATCCCAGATCTAAGTAGAAAATAACGGATTCATAGGATGTTTCAGGGCTATCAATCAACCGTTGGTTCATTAATCCTGGCTCCTGACAAGCATTTCAAGGCGCAGCTGAGGCTCGGAGCCTTTGCTATTGATGTTGAGTGAGAAGCCAACCTGGACCAAAGGAGACAACCTAAGGTTGAATATATCCAATAAAACTAACTTCTTCACGGGGCCCGAGTAAATGTTGGCCCCTCGCTAAATTAACCACTCACTGAGCAACTGTTTCAGGGTTTGCCTTTTGCCAGATTCGTAAAGGCCCCATGAGAAGAGGAAACATACTGGGCTGGAGGTCCTTTTAGTTTTCTTCCAACACTGGATCACCGGCAAACCCGGCCGAAACTAGCTCGTTGATGTGGGCCTTGAGGTCCAGCCAACCCCCCACCCAAAAACGCATAAGGCTTGGGCTGGGGGAAGCCCTTCTCACATAGACTCTCAAATTCACTTAAATGGACCTCGTTGATCCATTAATGGACCTCCGTATACCGCAGTTGATCAATGAACTTGTGCAAGCATGATATTGAAGGGTCTTGAGATTTCAAACTTTGAGCCACCAATCGGCAAATCGAGTTGGACAAACATCCAGTTTGCGATCGCCCTTTGGGGACTCTCAAACAAAACCAAGCTTTGATACCATACTGTAAACCCCACTCTAATAGAGCACTCATCCAAACAACAACACACCTGCGCAAAGTAGAAAGTCTCTGAAAAGGTATAAACGGCCACTTGGACACTGCACAGGTCAGCTTTGGCGGACATCATGTTAGCAAGGATTTTCTTCCAAAACCGTTTTGTTGGGACGAGAGCCCGAACTTCCCTAATATTGAGCCCATTGGAAAGCCTGCCGCGCACCTCGGGCGCTGCGCCCGCTTCACCCTCGGAGTCGGACTCGTATTCGCTGGAGGAGGACTCTGCTTTTGGGGCCGCGGCCGCGGCTGCCTGAGAGAAAATAGGCAGCCGACCAGCAGCAGGTGCAGATGTTTTGTTTACTGTTGGCTCTGACAGAAAGTCACAAACTGACAGGGAGAGACATGAGCAGCTGGTGCGACCTGTGTGATGTTCGGCTGTAGCATGGGAAAAGGTACTGAGCAGAAATAATGTTGGTGGATGTTGGTTCTATACCAGGTTATTATGTTTCGGTTGCAGTAGAAAGGCTTGCCGGAGGACAGCGCAACCCAACAAACACACTCTCGCAAATACACCAAAAAAGCAAGCAAGCAAGCAAGCAAGCAAGCAAGCAAGCAAGCAAGCAAGCAAGCAAGCAAGCAAGCAAGCAAGCAAGCAAGCAAGCAAGCAAGCAAGCAAGCAAGCAAGCAAGCAAGCAAGCAAGCAAGCAAGCAAGCAAGCAAGCAACCAACAAAAACAACCACATCACACACACAAAACAAACAAACAAAAAATCAAAAAAAGAAAGAGAGACAGAAAGAAAGAAAGAAAGAAAGAAAGAAAGAAAGAAAGAAAGAAAGTAAGAAAGAAAGAAATAAAGAAAGAAAGACAGACAGAAAGAAAGAAAGAAAGAACGAAAGAAAGAAAGAAAGAAAGGAAGGAAGGAAGGAAGAGCGAAAGAAAGAAAGAAAGAAAGAAAGAAAGACAGACAGACAGACAGACAGAAAGAAAGAAAAAAAGAAAGAAAGAAAGAAAGAAAGAAAGGAAGGAAGGAAGGAAGAAAGAAAGAAACAAAGAACAAAAGAAAGAAGGAAGGAAGAAAGGCAGGAAAGGAAGGAAGGAAGGAAGGAAGGAAGGAAGGAAGAAAGGAAAAATTAAGAAAGAGATAAAGAAAGAAATAAAGAAAGAAAGAAATAAATTAGCCGACATTGCGGAGGCATGTCGGATACCTAAGAGAGGATAGAGGATAACCCCCCCCCCCCCCCCCGCCCGACGTCTGATACGTAGGGTTTAGGGGCGGGGGGGGGGGCTTCCCCGCATACCGCGCGGTAATTTGATGACGTTCCACTAAACGTAGTCTTCGGGAATCGCAAAACAGGGGTCCCAGGCTGGAAAAAACTCTGTGTTTTTTGACGTCCTCTTTTGGAAAACGCTGGAAAAACCGTGTCTTTGTGCGGGAAATGCTGGGGAGCAATGGGGAAATGCGAGGAAGTGCAAGGAAATGAGGGGAGGCAATAGGAAGTCAACATGACAGGAAAGCAACGGGAAATGAAAGGGAAACAAAGGGGAACTGAAAGGGACATGAAAGGGACACAAATAAAAACAAGGGGAGTGCAGGGGGAATAAAAGGGAAACAAAGGACAAGGAAAACAATCGGCACGACGGGAGATGTAGGGAAATGACTCGCAACGAAAGAACGGGACAAACATGGAATATGAAGCGGACATACCGATAAAATGACAGGGACATGAAGGGGGAGTTGAAAGGAATGGAAGGGACATGACCAGGACATCATGGGACAAATGAAAAGGACGTGAAGGGGAAATCAAGGGGAAAGCCAGTAGTAAGCAGACAGTTCAGGGTCATGAAGGGGCAGTGCCCGGACATCGAGGCAACTCAGGGGGACGTGACGCTGCAACGCAGAGAGAGAGAGAGAGAGAGAGACACAGGGAGAGAGCGGGAGAGAGAGAGAGAGAGGTGGAGAGAGAGAGAGAGAGAGACCGAGACAGAGCCAGAGTCAGAGAAAGAGACAGAGAAAGAGACAGAGAGAGAGACAGAGAGAGAGAGAGAGAGACACAGAAAGACAGAGAGAGAGAGAGACAGAGAGAAAGAGCGAGAAATAGAGAGAGAGAGAGACTAGGTCCTCCAGTAGAGAGGTTAGAATAAGGGTACCCTTTTTTCTGTAGAGGGGCGTGGACAGGAAGGAGACAGGGAGACAGAAAGAGACAGAGAAACAGAGAGAGAGAGAGAGAAACAGAGAGAGAGAGAGAGAGATAGAGAGAGACAGAGAGAGGGGGGGATGGGGAGGATGGGGAGCAGAGGGAGGGAGAGAGGACGACAGAACACACGGGGGAGGAGACAAGAGAGAGAGGAAGAAGGAGAAAAGAGAGAGGACAATGTCGGCGGACTGAGCCGGAGGCTCTAAAGTAAAGAAAGAAAGAAAGAAATAAAGAAACAAACAAATAAATCAAGAAATAAGGAAAGAAAGACATAAATAAAGAAACAAACAAACAAACTAAGCAATAAATAAATAAATAAATCATAAAGAAAGAAAGAAAGAAAGAAAGAAAGAAAGAAAGAAAGAAAGAAAGAAACACATACACAAACACAGAAACAACATACAAAAAAACAAAACAAAAAACAAGCAAGCAAGCAAGCCAGCAAACAAGAACAAAAAAGAAAAAAAAAGCAAGCAAGCAAGCAAGCAAACAAACAAAACAAGCAAAGCAAGCAAACAACACACATACAATAGCAAAGGGCTTGACCATGTGCGATGAGTGATACGAGCATGTCAAGCCCCATACCTGTCAACAAGCTCACTCATATCTGTACATTGCATTGTACATGCATGTTACAGACTTACACTTTGAGGGCTTTAGAGCTATACTACATTGATTGAGATGTGCCTAAGTTTCATGCTCGGCAATTGAAACGCCGGAGCTCAATGACCGCTAAACAGGTGTGACTGATTATCAAACTTCAAATCATCACTACTCATGGTTGGCTTACTTTGTTTCCAGGGCAGAGGGGTAAGATGCCATAACAAAAACATTATTCGACAAGGCACACACTCCTGGCCGCCGCGATGCGAGTATTGAACAAGGGCATGTCAAATCATTGAACCCTTTGTGGGACCCGTTTTGGGGTGTTGTGCTGGCTCGCGAGGCGTCCACAAGGGGCCTCTAATTGGGTGCCAAATAGGGGGCCTGGACAAACATTCGCATCCCAGCTGGCTTCCTTTAAGTTAAACTGAAAGTAATATTTAGCACCCAGCTAACATAGCCCACTGCCCAAAACAAATGTAAGACCTCGCCCAATCTCGCCTGTGGCTGGATGATGCTGTTGTCCGGCGGCAGGGGGAAAGCACCTGCCAAAGCAAAACACCATCCAGGCCAACGACGCTTTTGCCCAGCCTTCCTCCTTCAGCGGCGCTTTGTTTTTTCCACTCGTGCAGCTTGGCTGTGCTGTCGCCAGCATCCACAGAAGCCCTTTGTTTTCCTGTGGTCTCTGATTGTTTTTTCTTCCCTTTGGTTTCCCTTGCAAAACAATCCAAAAAGGCCCGGTTCCAATTTTGGACAAACCCCCCTCCTTGACGGGGCAGTTGGAGCTCCACTGCAACCCCTCACCCCCTCACTGCCTGAGTGGTTCGGTCTGAAAGATTCCCAAAGGTGTAAGGTTCGTCATTTCCAACCATCGTTTTTCTCAGGGCCATTTCGGGTCCCTTCAGAACTCGGACCGGGAGCCCCCGCCTGTGCCATACCCCGGCGCCAGGCTCCCCGAGGGCGGCATTTGGCCGAACCCGGCGCCGGGCGCAGCACCGTAGAAGGTAAAGTGTGGTTGGCCCGGCGCCGGCCCCTGCCGAACGAGGGCGATTCAACCACAAAGCCCGCAAAAGCAGGGTTCGGAAATCCAGTTCAACGTGGTCTTTGGAAGGCTTGGCCCTGGTTTGAACATATTTGAACAGTTTTTTTTAGAAGAAAAAACATCGTTTGGTTTCCTCATTAGCGGCATTAGCGGGACCAGCGCATGTTGAAGCTCATTTCGGCCAATGCTGCCGTCGAGTCAAAGGAAGGAACCAAAAAAAGGGGATGGTCCAAGAGAAGATTCCTCTCAACATATCAACATGGGCGGGATTTTGAGACGTCCATGTCAATATATAATTGTAATCAATATACTATGTATAATTTCCCACGCACCTTGTACAGATCAAGCATCACGCACGTCGATATTTTGCGTAAGTCAGGTCAAACATGATTGAACGGCAGGCGATTAACAGCCCAATCCCACCCTGACGATGAAACACATAAGAGCTCATGGTCTCCGTACCAACAAAAGTGGAAATATGTGGGAAAGGGTCGCACGCGTTGCGAACGACGCACCCCCCCACATGCTCGATGTGCCGGGTCCATGAGTCACTTACACTCCAGGTTTCCCGCCGAGCGTTTGTATCTCCCTGGTGCAAAACAATGTCCGCCAGAGCCTCGGCATTCTCTACCTTTGATTTAGCCCACGTCTGGCGTCTCTGTACCTTGCCCATTGCAAGCCACCGGCACAACTGATCCTGTTCACGAGGACAGATTGGCTTATGCAAGATTCTCTGAAGAGTTCTTAAACAAGCCTCAAGCAAGTGAAGTTCTCGGCTCCAGGAGTTTGGGCTTCTTGAGTTCAATCGAAGCAAGATTGTGTCACCATCCGCAAGTACGTTCAGGAAAATATAGAACACGACACTTGTGCGTCACGTGTTCTTGCTCTTTATCCGACCACCTTAGCAAGGACAACTATGCATGAAGTAAGTGACACCAACAAGTAGATGAATGGCGGGCCTCGGCGTAAGCCAGGACTTCACGTTGTCCAATCATCACTCCCCGATCCCGCGAGCTGAAACTTTGCTTGCTCAGACTCTTGCCTTGGCTTTTCGCTGGATGAGCTGGCTTCGTCCAGTCGTAAGCGTGCAATTCTAGTCAAGACTTTAAAAGAGCGAAGAGAGGCCGCCCCAGTTGTGTCCACCGCTTTCCCAGCTTTTCTAGATGTGTGTGGGAAAGGCTCCCTCTTTTGGGGGTACATTCGTCTTTCATACATTACCCACCCAGAACCGCACCTGAGCAACGAAGCCGTAGCTTTGCTGCGGGCGCGCAGCGACGAATGGCTGTGAGCCATACTGCGCCGTAGCTGCATGATGATACGCAGGTGCCTGCATCGGCATCTGGTGCACCATGGGCTGCCCGTGAGGCATGTGCATGGGCTGCCCGTGCATCGGTTGCATGCTCTGCGCGTGATGCATGGGCTGCATGGGCTGCATGGCGGCAACGGAGGTGAGAAGCTCGGGGGAAGTCACTATCTTTGGGATTCGTGCTTCGCTGCAGGATTCATGACATCTGGCGGTGCGGAAACAACAGTGGTCAAAAGCGCTATGTCTCCTCACTACTGGTGTAGCTAGTTTGAGTCATCTTGCATGTCATGTGGTGCCTTCTGCGGGTGTTAAATCAATCTAAGACTCCATGGCAGGCAGGCTGCAAAGCTCACCGCAACGGCTGCTGTCCAAGTCCCAACTCAGACCTATCTCTTTTCAGGTTTGGCCTGCCAAAAACCGGGTGGCTGTCAAATTCACGTTTGATGGGACATATCATTAAACGTGGGCTTATATTTGAAGGGCTTCTGTAGGGTGATATTGAGGGCGCCACTTTGATTGGCCCTTGAAAAGAAAAAACACTGTACGAGGTCACTAGCAAGGGGTCAGAGCATCGATTCGGTCAATTCGGGTCGTATCGACTCCCAGGAGTTCAAACACAAACCACCGGGCTTGAACAGTGAACAACACATGTATGCTATGTGTGAACAAACCCAAAGTGGACATTGAATTTCAAGCACAAAAAACACGTGGACAGAACATGACAGACCTCCTTTCTCAATGCACACGAGGAGCAACTGTTGCATATTGCTCGACTCAACAGTTCGAGTCCAACTTACGTGGATGACAATTGTCTCTCGCCCCATAAGACACATAGTGACACATAACAGGTGTTGGTTTGTGGGAAAGTACCTACACATTCACCCAAGCAGTTGTGCCATGGTTGACACTCTTCATGTGGGGAATGGTCATAGCTCCCTCAGTAGGAGCCCTGACAGTGGTCGTCTAGCTTTCTTGGTAAGGGCTCCGTGACCGACGCCCCAGTAACCACCCAACAACAAGGGTGCGTCGACCGTGGCACAGTAAAATACGACATGGGAGATGCAATGGGTCAAATCAAAAGGTGGGTTTGTCAAACAAGGGCGCTCTGAGTGACTGTGTGTCCTAGCATCCACCTGACAGGCTACTCCCTCCGGCCCAAAGCGGCCCCTGGGGCTAGAGGGCTCACGCGATGGGGGAGGTCCAGTACATGGACAATTCGGAGTCAGTCAAGATGACGGGCGACCTTGGTGGGTTCAATGAAAGGCGCGTTTGGAAAACCCAGCACAAAAGCGAACAAATTCTTGAAATATGAAGCGAGCCAACCTAGAACAATGTCGCTCCCCATACCCTGAGTTGCTTTAGTACAGAGGTGACCACAAAACATGTTCCCCCAATAAACATAAACAAAACCAACACACCAAGCCCAAACAACATACGAGAATTTGGCCCCCTGATGAAAGGACGCCACAAGGGACAACGGGTCAATCGCCTTCTTGTTTGATCCCGGTTTTGCATCGGTTTTACGGGCTTAAACCGACCTAAAAGGATAACATCCAAAAAAGGCACAACCTCATGTTTGTATAGCCAAGCGCAAAGAGCTTGGGTATCCCTGCACACGTTCCGTTTGGGTTTCCGTTTCCAGCCCATGCCGGCCTAGAAGAGGTCAAGTCGTCTCGTAGGTGACACGCACAAGCCAGTCAGTCCAAGCCAAGGTTGCGGCTAAGAAACAAAATATTTATCAGTTACAATTATGATTCCTTCTTGGTTGATGTTGACCCCTCTGCAAAAAGTTTAACTTGGTGTGGGTTTAGTGGCAAACCCCTTGATTTGCCGAAAAGTTAAAGTCTAAAGATCCAACCCTATAGCAGTCAAGCCTTTGTTGTGTGCACTGATATGCTGCAATATATAAGCATCCTTAAGAAATTGTCTAAGAAGCCAGCTCCAGGAAAACTTGCAGTTTTCCCACAAACTTTTTTTTAAGGGGGTATCGTGCGAGTTTCCTGAAGCTTTCCCCGATATTGCCATGGGAAAACAAGGACACTCTTTGGTAGGTGACTTCAAAGAAAACCTACCCCAACAAGAAGAGAACAAAGGCACTGGCGATCTTGAAAGGAATCTAATCCATGCGGAGTCCACGCGTGGAGTCTGCCCCTCGACTCGCGCTCAAGTGCCGGGCCACGCCCTGCGGACTTTGGTGCCCTGCGGCGAAAGCGCCGCTTTTGGGACGGAGATGCTTGGGTTTCCAAGCCCGAAACAACCCCTCAACGTGTAATGCTGGGGTAAGTGGTTTAGGGACGCGGTTCAAGAACCACCACGGCACTGTGCGCTGGGCCTGACCCTGCGAAAGCTAACTTGGTGCCGGTTGAAGGGGAACATGAAGGACACCATCAAAACGTTGAGCATAGACGAACAGTGTGGAGCTTGGACTTCGTTGTTGCAGGTCCAAGCACATCTATTTTGTTCTGCTCGTGTATTGAATCAGATGTCAAATGTTTAACCACCAAACCACTCCTATAAAAGCAAGACGGATGCCAGGCTGAAAGTGGGGATTTCATCACACGTCCTTGACAAAGTCAATCTTATCTGCACTTACTACTATAGTTCGTCAACCTGATTCAAGAAACCCATTTGTAAAGGAACTGAGTGAGCTTGTTGTACCCTGTGTGAGCTCGCTACAACAAACAAGCAGACAGGCAAACGAACACACAAACAAACAAACAAACAAACAAACAAACAAACAAACAAACAAACAAGCAAACAAGCAAACAAGCAAACAAGCAAACAACTAAGCAAGCAAGCAAATAGAACACCCACGGGCAGACAAACAAACAAACTGACTGACTGACTTGACTGAGTGAGTGACTGACTGCCAAGCAGACACAAGCAAGAATGTGATGATGTGATTGCCCTCGTCAACAATCATGAAAGTGGAAAGGGGGTTTCTCGAAACTAAACATAGTGGTGCATCACCCCGCAGCTACAAGAAACATCGTGGAAGGGAGGCTACCTGTAGTTGTAAAGGCTTAAACTAACATCACATTCACAAACAGCCGCCAGTAAGGCACCCGCTTCAGAACAGCCACGTTTCTCGCTTGCATACAATAAAACAAAATGCCTGAGCATAACTACCTCAGCGTTTGTCTGTCCAACCAAAAATCATGTGTTTGATTCTGGTTCATATTTGATGAACATTATATATATCAATATACATTGACATGTATATATATATATACATACAATATGCCATATGCAAATTCAACACATAGTTGATGTTAAAGAGAACCCGCTTCCAAGGAAAAGGAACCGTCCTGGAGAAGTGGGCAGTCAGTACTCAGTACAGGCGTCTCATGTGGATAGCAGATGTTACGAAGCATCGCTAAATCCTCTGTCCTCAGTCGACAAAAGCTTCCGCATACTTGGGTGCAAAACCATTGAGCCGCACCCAACTGGGAACCAACAGCCTCACTTGCTAAGAATCCACCAACTATTAAAAGCCAAAACAGGCAAAATTGTTTTGAACATCGAGACCCTGGGATACAAGGAGCAACGGCTTCACCCTTAAAACCCGCCTGGTCCAGCTTCATATGCGAGGTTACTCGTGCTGTTTCAAAGCTTGCCTCGAACGGGAGGGGGGGAGGGGGGCGAGCTCGAGTGCAAGCTTGAGAAAGTTCAGGAAGGAAATCACCCGGAAACGACGCCAACAGGGCTAAAGCAGGGTTTTTCCGCCAAGAACCCAGTTTAAACGGGTCTTTGAAGGGTACAAAATAGACCTATCAGGTCCGAGTAGCTTCTTCTTTTGGGGGCTTGACACCCAGGACAATGGAAGTATGTGTGGGATCCCCATCTCATAGGTCTGATGGGAGTCAAAAGGATCTGTATGTAGGTCACATGCTATAAAGGGAACCACCCCCGCCACCCACTTAATACAATGGCTGTAACCTGCTCAGTACTTATTCGGCTGCTGAACATAATGGGCCCTGAAATGATGCTAACTTACCAACTCGATTGAACATCCAACTGGGTGAAGTATGATAATTCACCAACCTGTAATACGGACCCAAAGCTCGGAAATCAAAACCTATTTGAGGCTTAATTCGCCCAGTCTGATGAGAACCACAGTGGTTTGGGTTCTCACAACGGATTGGACCCTTTTTGGCGGGAATGAAAGACACCAACAGAAAACCAAACGTTTGAATCGAGTGGCAGGCTATGCTAGTTGTCAAACCCCAACTCCGACTGCAACGGGCTCAGAGATACCCCTGTTAGGGCAACATGCACGGTTGACAGACCCGAGCTTTAGTTTGAGATAAAATTGTTTCAAAGACAAAAGGTGCATACCATTGCATGCCGCACGATACACGGGGTATGTCAATGCTGCCTGCCATGGGCCCAAAAAGAGGGTCTGAGTAACCTTTAAGCATGACTTTGGAGGGACCAGAAAACAATCGAAAATAGGCCCAGCGAAAGTGGCCAAGGCATGCTAAGGCCAAATGTATTTGCAGGTTTACAGGCCCGCTAAAAAAACGGCAGGTTTCAAATAAATCAACACAAGGTTCCGTCTGAAGCTAGCAACCATGGGTTATCCATGTTGTGTATTGCTTTGCAGGTTCTTCAAACGGAACCTCCCCCTGTTTTGTCACTATTCTTGCAGGTTGCGCAGATGAAACCCTCGTGTTTCATGTTGATTCAACACCCACCCTTCCAAAGGCTTTGCCTTCGTTGTCTTTACATCGTTTGGTTGAAGTTTGCTTCTACCAAGATCGTTTGGGGTTTGTTCAACCAGGGCGTTGGACTCCAATATCCGAAAGGAAGGATTCCGCACCATGGCAAAAACCACGTGCCCAGGTGTCACAAGCGTTTGTGCGGGCTCTAGACAACCGCTTGCATCGATATGGTGGATCCTATCTGTCTGACCAGACCTCCATTGGGTCTTGGGAAAAAAGTTGTGTTTATTAGTTGTTGATCTTAAACGGACTTCACCTCCAAGAAAAAGGCAACACGGGGACCACTGGACGACTGGAGGGCGGGGTTGATCTTTTATCACTCTGGTGGATCAAGTGTGGCAGCCAACACTTGCCCAGTCACTGAGTCGAGTAAGTGGCCATTGTTTGTTGGATGCTTTCGAATTA